AACTTAACACCTGATTATTTATCCACTCTTCTTCCCCCCTTAGTCTCAGAAAATTCACCCTATAACCTTCGAAATGCCAATAATTACTCCATACCAAACTACCGTCTACAACTCACAAAATCTTCTTTCTTTCCCTCTACTATTCATCTTTGGAATCAGTTAGACCACGATATCCGACAAAGTGAAACATATTCGGTCTTTAAACACTCTCTCCGTAAAAACACAGACATTCGAATTCCGCCCTATTTTCTTATTGGTGATAGAAAAACTAACATCCTGCATGCCAGATTACGTAACAGATCCAGTACTTTAAATAATGACTTGTTTCATGCTAACTTAATTAATTATAAACACTGTCAATGTGGACACTATATCGAAGATGCTCATCACTTCTTTTTTGTATGTAATAATTATGCCTACCAACGCCTACAACTTTATCGTGAGCTTAATGATTTCATTCCACTAGACCTCCACCTTCTATTATTTGGAAACTCCGAGCTGACTAACCAGGAAAACGAAACTATATGCCAATCCACCCAAAGATTTATTATAAATACAAACCGGTTTTAAATTATACTCTATAGTAAATTATAATCGTTCCTTCCCAACTCGGGTGACAATCGGTTGAGATATATTATTTCCAGAAGGATCAGCATGGACCAAGGAGAAGGACATCGGTGGCACGGTTTTTGATAGACATTGACAAGTTGAACGCTAGGAAGAGTGGAATAGTATAAAGAATGTGATTGTCACCTGGGTTGGGTTAGACCATATCGCTATTGTTCCTTTTTCACTACATTTGTAGATGTACTCTCTCTCTCTCTCTCTTTTTCTCCCCCCTCTCTCTCTTTCTCCCCCCCCCCTCTCTCTCTCTCTCTCTGTCTCTCTCTCTCTCTCTGTATATATAATTGTATCTTGTAAATTTCGAATAGGTCATCTTTTGCATTTATATGTGTCTGTTATTTATCTTGGAACGGGCTTTATATAAGTTTGTAAACTTGTGCCCAATCCATTTGTATATACAATTTATGCAATAAAATATGTTTAAATCAAAATAACCTGGTAAGATTATATACCGTGTTAGTAATAGACCAAGACGGGAATGTGCGAGAATAGATGAGTTATCTACCTTTATATCACCAGTTGGAACATCAGTAATATTATCATAAAAACCTTCAACAAACATTTCATCTAACATTCACCAGTATTCAACAGTAGATTCTGATCAATCAATGTACAACCCAGGCTATGATTAGCAATTACCTTTAGCCAGAAACTGTCCAATCCGCTCTGTTCCAAATTAATTGTACGGTAAACAACAACTGCAATTTTATGCCCTCAGATCGGAAGTTGTCAACTTGAACCTTGCCCATAACTGTTGCTTCGTAAGAGGCAAGGCTTTCATATTTGGCATGTGTATTCCTAGTGACAAAAGACTTTCCGATGGTACAAAATTGTTTGACAATGTGACCTTGACAGTAACGTTTGATCTACATTTGAAAAAAAAATGGTTTTGTTGCTACCAGGTGCATAGTGTTTTGTAAACAGATCTTGTACAAGTAATAATCACACCATCGAATCCTCATTGTCTATTCTGTCGACAAATATCATATTCAAAATATTTTTTAAAAAAACCAGATGCCTATATTATCAATTAAATTTATTATTTTACGTGTTTATCCCATAATGATTAAATATAGTTTTGAAATAATGTATTTAAACAAAGTAGACCCGGGAAATAGATTGCATACGTAGACCTACAGTCCCTGTCGTGGACTACATGCACTGTAATAATATACAATAAACTGATCTGAAAAGTTTTGCTTGTGAACTCCAGTGTACAGGCTAGTTAACTCCAGTGCAATATAATGTTTACTTCAGCTCTAAAGATTGTGAACTCAAGTGGACTTTAATGTGAACTCTGGTCCCCAACAATGTTAACTCCAGTGTACAAGCAAGTGAACTCTGGTGCCCAACAATGTTAACTCCAGTGTACAAGCAAGTGAACTCTGGTGCCCAACAATGTTAACTCCAGTGTACAAGCTAGTGAACTCTGGGCCCCAACAAATTTAAACTCCAGTGTACAAGCTAGTGAACTCTGGTCCCCAACAATGTTAACTCCAGTGTACAAGCTAGTGAACTCTTGGGCCCAACAATGTTAACTCCAATGTACAAGCTAGTGAACTCTGGGCCCCAACAATGTTAACTCCAGTGTACAAGCTAGTGAACTCTGGTCCCCAACAATGTTAACTCCAGTGTACAAGCAAGTGAACTCTGGTCCCCAACAATGTTAACTCCAGTGTACAAGCTAGTGAACTCTGGTGCCCAACAATGTTAACTCCAGTGTACAAGCTAGTGAACTCTGGTCCCCAACAATGTTAACTCCAGTGTACAAGCTAGTGAACTCTGGTCCCCAACAATGTTAACTCCAGTGTACAAGCTAGTGACCTCTGGTCCCCAACAATGTTAACTCCAGTGTACAAGCTAGTGAACTCTGGGCCCCACCAATGTTAACGCCAGTGTACAAGCTAGTGAACTCTGGTGCCCAACAATGTTAACTCCAGTGTACAAGCTAGTGAACTCTGGTCCCCAACAATGTTAACTCCAGTGTACAAGCTAGTGAACTCTGGTCCCCAACAATGTTAACTCCAGTGTACAAGCTAGTGAACTCTGGTCCCCAACAATGTTAACTCCAGTGTACAAGCTAGTGAACTCTGGTCCCCAACAATGTTAACTCCAGTGTACAAGCTAGTGACCTCTGGTCCCCAACAATGTTAACTCCAGTGTACAAGCTAGTGAACTCTGGAGCACTACAATGTTAACTCCAATGTACAAGCTAGTGAACTCTGGTGCCCAACAATGTTAACTCCAGTGTACAAGCTAGTGAACTCTGGGGCCCAACAATGTTAACTCCAATGTACAAGCTAGTGAACTCTGGGCCCCAACAATGTTAACTCCAGTGTACAAGCTAGTGAAATCTGGTCCCCAACAATGTTAACTCCAGTGTACAAGCTAGTGAAATCTGGTCCCCAACAATGTTAACTCCAGTGTACAAGCTAGTGAACTCTGGTGCCCAACAATGTTAACTCCAGTGTACAAGCTAGTGAACTCTGGTGCCCAACAATGTTAACTCCAGTGTACAAGCTGGTGAAATCTGGTGCCCAAAAATGTTTGTTCCAGTGTACAAGCTGGTGAAATCTGGGCCCCAACAATGTTGACTCCAGTGTACAAGCTAGTGAACTCTGGAGCACTACAATGTTAACTCCAATGTACAAGCTAGTGAACTCTGGTGCCCAACAATGTTAACTCCAGTGTACAAGCTAGTGAACTCTGGTCCCCAACAATGTTAACTCCAATGTACAAGCTAGTGAACTCTGGGCCCCAACAATGTTAACTCCAGTGTACAAGCTAGTGAAATCTGGTCCCCAACAATGTTAACTCCAGTGTACAAGCTAGTGAAATCTGGTCCCCAACAATGTTAACTCCAGTGTACAAGCTAGTGAACTCTGGTGCCCAACAATGTTAACTCCAGTGTACAAGCTAGTGAACTCTGGTGCCCAACAATGTTAACTCCAGTGTACAAGCTGGTGAAATCTGGTGCCCAAAAATGTTTGTTCCAGTGTACAAGCTGGTGAAATCTGGGCCCCAACAATGTTGACTCCAGTGTACAAGCTAGTGAATTCTTGCTCACAACAATGTTGACTCCAGTACACAAGCTAGTGAACTCTGGTCGTCAACAATGTTTACTCCAGTGTGCAAGCTAGTGAACTCTGGTCCCCAACAATGTTAACTCCAGTGTACAAGCTAGTGAACCCTGGTCCCAAACAATGTTAACTCCAGTGTACAAGCTAGTGAACTCTGGTCCCCAACAATATCAACTCCAGTGTACAAGCTGGTGAACTCTGGTGCCCAAAAATGTTTGTTCCAGTGTACAAGCCAGTGAACTCTTGCTCACAACAATGTTGACTCCAGTGCACAAGATAGTGAACTCTGGTCGTCAACAATGTTTACTCCAGTGTGCAAGTTAGTGAACTCTGGTCTCCAAAAATGTTAACTCCAGTGCACAAGATAGTGAACTCTGGTCGTCAACAATGTTAGCTTCAGTGTACAAGGTAGTGAACTCTAGTGCACAATAATGTCAACTTCAGTGCACAAGCTAGTGAACTCTGGTGCACTAAATCTCTTTGTTTTTCTTCGTTATTACATGTTTTATTTTGTAGTTTGTTAGATCTACATAAATACGCATGGCACGTCAATTCCATTGTTATATATTTACGTTTACACGGCTATACTATAAACCAGGAAGACAAAAGTGAAGAAAACTTTTCAATATAAATTAAGATTTGGACAGAGTAGAGTCAAACGATGAATTTAAATGCACCATACAGCTCGTTTCGTCCATCCTGGATTCGTCACTGATGCTAAGGGCTAAAATTTCGAAGCTTATGACAAATCGAAATTGATCAATTAAACGCGAAAATGTAGTTGGGAAGGTGTACTAGCTCCATCATTTAACAAATATCGCGATTTTCATAAATGTAAGTTTGAAAATTTTAAAAGAACGTCATGTAGGTTGTATTTCTGAAGAAGTGCTATATGAGGAAGGAAATATGTCACGTGACCTTTAACGTCATTAGAATGGGCATTGATCGTCGAAGAATCCTCGTCAAAATGGCTGTTCCACTATCGTTGACTTTTTTCAGTTCAAACTAAGTTTCGAGACATACGACAGCAACTCGAGTTGGTGCTGTAACAAGTAACATTAAACTGTTGTGTTATAGCATTTATGGTCGATATAAATGACACAGATTTGCAGTTAACATAATACAAACGTTTGGGTGCAATGCTATGTCATTTATATCAACTGTATTGTGACATATTACGATATTACAACGTGTTACTAAGCAAGTCTAACGAATCTGATACACAGATCTATAGATAAATAAATAGATAAATGAATAGATAAAATCAATAGAAGCGACATGTTATGTTAGACTCACCAGAAAGATGTCGAACACTTGGTTATAAATAGGTACGTAAGGTTTGAGAACGTCGAAATGAAATGCTGGTGTCAACAACCGTCTGTTCCTCTCCCACTTCTTACCATCACTGATCAGTAAACCGTCTCCTATAGTGAGATCGATACCATTACTACATTTCAAATTAGATCAATGACTTATTATAAACCTTTTTAAAATAAATTCTGAGCGATATGCGAGGGTTCACGATATACCGGCGTACTATTGTAGTTCGAGGTCCCGGATTTAATGCACAAATGAATAAAACAAGATATATACAATGTAAAGCCGATTTTCATGTGATCCGCCTCAAAGATGTTCACTTTGTAAGTGTATCAACAAAATGCTATTCTCTACAAAGTAATTGTTTAAGGACTCTTGTAAATTATCTCCGTTTTAAGTGCAGTTTTATGGGCCAAGTCCAGGACAATTTGTTGTACATGTGATGAAATTGGATTTGATTTAAGTTCCAACGAGCTTCGGTCTTAAATGAAATCAAACTCCGTTCAGTAGTGAAACGCAACAATGTTATGCTGCGCTAAAAGTTTTCGAAACGAGTAAGAACACATATGTATAACTTCGTTGGCATTCCTTAATTTTGAAAAAGATTTAAAAAAAAAACACTATTTTTTTCTAGATTGTAAACAATATTACATCTGTGTTATACATTTTTAAATCTATTTGTTGTATATATTGTTCATCTATTTTGCTACCTATTGTCGTTATTTATACATTTATTGATTATTGACTTATTTATTCTTATTGATACGTTAACTTATTTACATTTACTCTATAAAAATATGCTTACCTAAATAAATACTCAAGTACATACCTAACCACGGAAGTAGAGTAAAGTAGCCACCTCCTGCCTGTTTATTCTTTGGTTCGCTTGACTTTAAAAGTATTTTGGCTGTATCCGGATGACACACGCCCAGTATCGGATAAAGGAAAGCCATCCAGTGACACGTTATTTTTCTCCCAGTTTCGCGTATTCCTTTATCCACCAGCTCTTGGAATCTTATTACTGGAATTAACTGAAAACAAACAAATAAATAAATAAGCGTGATGTTCTAATTCACTCTTCTGAAAAATAATTCGATCAAATAGATAAACAAAGGGTAATGTACTAATTCGTCCTGATTGAAACAAACATTTGGAGCAGGTTGTTGTTACCGCTCACGCCAATAATAATGTTGTTGTTAGTGGCATTGTTGTTTATAATCAAAAAGTGTTGCTTGGCGTCATCGCGTTTGTTTCGTTCATAACTTTAATATAATGAGTTGCTTGGCGTCATCGCGTTTGTTTCACTCATAACTTTAACAAACACGTACTGGACAAGTAAGTTATAAATATATGACATATTTCAAAGACAAATGAACGAAATCAGCAACCCGCATCACTGATGTTGAATTATAAAAAAATGTGTCTTTAAAATACACCAGTAAATCATTTAATATATTACTGTGTGTTACATGTATATAATGCATAATAATTTTATTGTAAAATATGATAAAATACGGAAATTAATTCAAACTACGGTGAAGTGACTTACCAGATGAAGATGTCCCCACAAAGGATGGAACTTTCCAAACCTGATCACTTTGTCAGAGGTATACAGAGCAATGTAGGTTTTATATCTATATAACAAACCATTCATCTTCCACAGACACAAACCCAACAATAGGGTACATAGTGCCAGCACTGATAGATCCATCTTTATTGATCTGTAAACAATAATAATCACTGAAGGTTATACTAACAGATAATACATATTGCATTGCTTGAAAATAAGAATATGAAAAACAGCAAATTGTAACTGAAACCTGTAGGGAATATGATTAATTTTGAAACATAGATGAGGGCGTGATAACAAATGTTCTGTCAACAGGAATGACGAATATGAACATTTGTATTAATACATATCATCATCATTGGCGTAACATCAACCTGGCTACAAGTTACGTGTCTGATATATCAAAGACCAGACAATATCATCTTTGACAAAAGAAAATGGTTTATACAATACACAGTCGAACCTCGTTATCTCGAACTGGTATAATTCGAAGACCCCGTGTAATTCGGAGCATTTCATCGGTCCCTGCCTACCTTCACAAAAAACATTCGATCTCACTTAAATCGAATACTCGAATTCGAGATAAAGAGGTTCAACTGCACTTTGTCAGCGAAAAAAAGAATCCTGAAATAGCCTTGAGAAAGTCTAGCCTATTTCCCCATTTGTGCCAAATTCTGCGTCCTAAAACAAATTTGAAATGTAATATATACCTTTAGGTAATACTGGATAAACGAAATTGATAATATTACAAGAACAATCCATGTACAATACAGGTCAGTCAAAATTGTTATTAAGAAAATAAGAAATATTGCAGTGATATGTTGGGTGGGAGGAGGGCTGTTGAAAAATTGAGGGTTTTAACTGGTAGCTGCAAAATGAACGTTTTGACGTTTAAAGTTCTTAGGAAGTCAATGTTTGACCGCTTCTTGTTTCAGTGTGTGTGTGTGTGTGTGTGTGTGTGTGTGTGTGTGACCACCCTGGAAGGTAGGATGGATTATACCCGGATACGTTAGTAAATCTACAATTACAACATCTTTGCCAAGCAATTGTATATATTTAGTTTATGGTACATAGCTTTTCTCTTTCAACTGATCACATGCACGATCTCTGATTGTTTTGACTGGTTGACAAATAATCAAAATCTATGTTTTAAAAATGACGTTTCTCTTTTGCATCACAATAGAGACTTAGTTGCAATTAGTCACCTGTAACAATTGCTTTTATTAGCATTATTTGTATCATATAAAACAATTGGGGAGGAGGGGGGGGGCAGGGGGCTTCATATTCTATCCAAAATTGTAATTTATTATTGAATCGTAAACAACCAGGTGTTATTTTATACAGCCATCTTTCACATTCTTGTTGTATGACTACTATAACACACTTACCTCTAGTGTACCGTATAATTCTGTTCACGCAAAGGTTATAAGTGTAGCACACACACGACTTACACACACGTTTACACTGACGGAAAAGTACATGAACACGATACAAAAAGACGAGCATGCAATACAGGAGTACTATACTGGCAATTTACTGTCAACATCAAATGTCTAAATCCAAGTATGTTCAGCACAGTATCAGAAATAGTCCAAAGACTTTGGCTAAAACATGTACAATTTTGTGAATACATTTTATACCTGTATCGTCTGCTGTCTTGGGTAAGGTTGTTGTTACCTATCACCAGTGTCACATCTACTTAGAAGATCATATGGAGGTCAAACTAAAGCTATGGTCAGTCACCTGGAACGGCGAACTAGACTTTTGTGGAAATCAAAACATCAGGCGCATGACGTGTTAGCGCTATCTGCATGTGAGAGGAACATTACCAAACGATGCGTGATCTCCTTTTCAAATTTTATTCTTTATCTTTTTTTTTCTCTCCCTTCTATATGAAGAGTTCAATTCGAGTTACCTCCCTTCCCCCAACCATAAGTACATATACACAAAAGGCATTCATCGGAATGTGCTCATAACAACAAAATTACATTTCATTTATTTTCGTATTTTCAGTGTTCGAAAGGTATCTTCCGGAGATGAGACTTGAAGACGTGAGTGGAGCCCATGCAGACGGGAATGCAGGCCGTAGCCGCATTTTGTTTTCAAACTCATTTTTTAAACTATATAAAGTCTATTTAAAGACTACAAACAAACAAATAAACATACGACGAATTGGATATGTAATTAACATCAGCAATCAATGACGATATCACACACACGTAATATACTACCTTTCCGATGGGAATCAAGATTGACCTTTATTCTGTATTATTATGGGTCACAAAAGGTGAACCTGAAGTTGGTTCCTAGTTCCGTTTAAGGAAAATGGAACTGGGAACCGGTTCCTAGTTCCGTTTTTCTAAATCGGAACTAAGAACTGGGAACCATTCTCAGGCTGGTAAGTGGGTGAGGCGAGGCCACCATACTCATCAATACTCAAGTACGGACAGTAGCGAATACTTTATAGACAAAGAACAGGTGCACGTGTATTGAAACAATATATCACAAGACTTTAGTAAAAAAATAATTCTTCATTACATACGTATATTAATTACCCATATTTTGTATCCCTGTGACGTACATGTATATGAATTGATATCATAATGCAGAAATGACCTTTTGACGCCTGTCTCCTTACCATTTTTAAATAAGTGTTGTATGCAATTTGGTTTAGAAATAGAGGGCGTAAATTTTATTTAATGTACGTGTTTATTCATCAAACAGTGATAATATTCAATGTCGTGAAATACCTGTTTCTAAAAGAAACTAAGACGTCGATCGCTTCTTCAACGTAATCTGAGTCGCACTTTCTTCCAGGATACGCGGAATACGTCCATCTTGGTTGTTGTTTTTTTTTTTTTTATCACCACACAGATTTTCTAAGTTAAAACAACGCATTTATTCATCGTGAACGCTAATTGATATTTTTTTGTAAATGTTGCATGATTGACGTGTTGCATTGACCATTAAATTCAAGTTTGTTGATACAAGTTTCCGTGTATGTCCTCATTACTAATAAGTAGATAAGATATCCAACCGCCGATGTTCCTCATTAGGTTTGATATTGTTTGATATAGCTGAAAGATCCGGATAAAATCATCCTCGCCCGTGCCATTGACATTAGTGACCACAAATCTGTCATCATGGACAGCTGTTGCTGTCTGATATTGAATATCCTGTGATAAAGTCAACAGTTCCCTGTGTTTTCCGTCCTCAGATATCTGTACTACGGTTTCTGAAACATAACCACAAACATAAATGTTTCCCTCCCCGTCCACGTCTATTTCTGTAGCGGAAATGACGTCACCGAACGACGTTTGGCAGCAATCGACAGTCTCCGCGACATCTCCGGCATTGTTGACAACTGTCTCCTTTTACATGATCATGTGCTAAGCAAATACAATTCCTCTCGTAACTGTGTAATAAATCTGACACGCCTTCTTCTGTCAAACCGTAAACCCTTCCTCCACCAATACTCACGAAAAATCTCCCCCCGGCGTATGAAATACCAAAAAAATCGTTTTCTGACACACTGATTTTAGACATATGTGAGAATTTTGCTGCCTCGATTTTCACGACTTCGACACCAACTGGACTGGAGATGGCGATCGCCACGGCGTTTTTGTTTCTCCAAACGGAGATCGCGTGAAACTCCTTGTAATTTCTCCAGATATTTTCCTCTGTCTGTAAACAACTTCAACTTTTTGTTTTGAATATCACTTATTATAGTCAGGTTATTTTGAATATATGCAACATCACAGGCACCACAAAGCAACTTTTGATCTGATGAAAGCCGTATGTCAAACTTTCCAAATTTCCCATTTGCGTTCCGACAAAGATGTTGCTGTATTTGAAGACATGCATCGCGATCGTTTCTCAAAGTTAACATCATTAACATCATTAACACCACTGCGGGAGTAGGGGCGAATACATTGATCTTGAAAAACAGAAGGAAAAATTAAAAAAAAAAAACCGGGAGTAATTCGATTGTTTTATATCGAGAAGAATCAAGGGTAGTTTCTGTGATGGAGATGCCTCTTATTTATCATCACAAATGTAACAACATATCCTAGTTCCTACGAAAATTTTCATCTCCATTTAACAAGTACGATATAATTCTTTACTTTTAAAAGAGGGACAAACATCAAAAATTGTATTAACATTTTCTCGTTGTAAATTTCGGACATAATGCAAGGACGTGGAATTTTACTGTCACCCACATGTAACTGTATGCAGTTACGTCATGTATGCACAGAGCAGTAAGTTGTACGTAAAAGATATTGGTATCTTTAAATATTTTAAATAGCCCTACTCAGTGTTAAAGAATCTTTATCTTATAATTTAGTATATGTAGTAACCATTAGCCGCCAGAACCTTACGTGTCGACTATCATGATAAGTAAGTACATGTTAATGATATTGAGAATAGGCTTGACGATCGACATGTCACTATTCACATTTGAGTACAGTTAGGTATTTTTCTTATCTCAGCAGTGAAAGTTAAAGTTAAACTACTTGAACGATACAAGTAAGACAATTAGTAGCTATGAACATATAATGAATAATTGATTCTATTGTTATATATGTACAACACAGTAGATCGTACGACTAGGTTGGAAATGTCTGTCAATTTACACTAGGTAAATGAGTCAAAATCGATAAGGAATTCCCCCTTCACTCCCCACCTCCTCCCCTCTAACATTAAATCAAGTAAAATAAACATGAAAAAACCCAGAAAGCACACTGCATACATATAACCACAGAACTTAAGTAGACACCAAATGTATATATTAACTATTTTCCCGACCGTCTCTGTGATTGATACAAGCCAAATGTCCTTTTTTTCAAATAAACTTTTTTATCCATCACTGTGAAAAGAATTATTCCGTTCCCAAAACAGAATTTCCGAACTGATGAGTACAAATAACGTTACGGAAATCCGTTCCCCAACATTTCCATGCGGATTGCGAGTTTTCCTAACTATCAGCGTTCGAATTACCGAGGGTCCACTGTATATAGACCCTCGCCTGTAATTGATATACCAGCGAAATTCGTTATCTCGAACTCTTTAACTCGGAGTTTCTGGACGGTTTCACTGACGTCGAGATAACGAGATTCGACTGTACATTACCCTTGCCTTGTAACACAACCTGCGACCTGTAATTAATGTTGAACATTTTTATAATAAGAAGGGGATCTATTTTAACGAACTGGATCGGGTTGCCAAGTCAAGGTTTGTTGTAGGTTTATTGGGGATTGGGATTCAGACAAATAAAACGTACGAGTGTTTATTCCCCGGAGATATTTTTTTAAAAAAAAGTGGGAAGGGGGGGATTTTTTTTTTTTTTTTAAATTGATAAACATTTTTAGTGGTTTTCAGACAACATCACAAATATCTACAAAGCCACAGATCTCTTCCGGAAAGAGGCACCCGAACGTCGTTTTCTTTTCTGTGATTCACAAGCGTCTCGTGAACACGAAGTGCCAATATCTTTAACGCTGTCAGACTGCCCGCAGTAGTATTTATACTTATAACAGAAAATAAACCTAGCGCTGAAATTACAATTAAACATTGTACTCAGTCGGAATAGCAGTTGGTTTCTAAGCTAGGTTAACTACAGCTTGAAGCACTTCAGCTCCATGGCAGCACATGTCAGCATACCAGATTTAGTGACCTTCACTTTCTAAACGCACCATTTAACTAATATACTCACCGAGTCAACTGCAATTGTATGTTTACATTCACGTAAAGTATAAGAAACAAAATGTAGACGGAAAGCGGCAGTATGATTACGGAATCAGCTATTTCGTGTAAATTTCATCCGTGATCTATTTTCTGTGGTGTTTCATACACCAGATATTTGTTAACAGGAGTTTAATGTCTGGCGTATTAGTAAGAAGAATCTGATTTTGCAAAAATAGATTGCCGGACACGAAACTAGAATGAAACACAAACGAAAAAAGCTTAGTTTATTCAAAGTTTAGTTCAAATAATTATAATGAATGGATTTCAGTTTACTCTAAAATGCGATTTGAACTTTTCAACAAGTACACTGATATACCATTGTTCTCTCAGGACTGAAACACGAATTATCCTTGTTAAACATCCAAGTTAAACATATAATCGACTTCAGGGTACTGTATCATGATCCTTGTCTCAAACCTATATATTTACCACAGGGGACTGTATCATGATCTATGTCTCATGTCTCAAACCTATATATTTACCACAGGGGACTGTATCATGATCTATGTCTCATGTCTCAAACCTATATATCTACCACAGGGGACTGTATCATGATCTATGTCTCTTGTCTCAAACATATATATCTACCACAGGGTTCTGTATCATGATCTATGTCTCAAACATATATATCTACCACAGGGGACTGTATCATGATCTATGTCTCATGTCTCAAACATATATATCTACCACAGGGTTCTGTATCATGATCTATGTCTCAAACATATATATCTACCACAGGTGACTGTATCATGATCTATGTCTCAAACATATATATCTACCACAGGTGACTGTCTCATGATCTATGTCTCAAACATATATATCTACCACAGGTGACTGTCTCATGATCTATGTCTCAAACATATATATCTACCACAGGTGACTGGCGTAGGCAAGGGGGGGGGTGACTTTTGTGAAACGTGTAATTCCGTTGAGTTTTTTTTAGGGAGGGGGGGGGGTGGGGGCGGGGGTGCAGGAAATTGAGCCAAAATTTGCTCTGTGTTTTCATTACGACTTATTTGGCTTGAGTAAAGTCTCCGACGAAGTTTTAGCTATGTATGAATGTCATTTCAAGGTTTATAAATAACACTGATTTTTAGATAAATATTCCAGTGTAAATGGAGAGGGAAATTTAAAATATTTCTTTGACAAATAACAAGAAAACAAAATCATTATAAAACAGAGATTTATTTACTCTCTGCAAGATATGTAACACATGGATATTGAAACGTTGCTTATATCACTTAAGCCGAACTAACGTTTATCGATTCCGTGACACTGAAGCAATTGTCCTTAGCATTAAAAAATGGTATTTTTCTGATATATTTTTTGATCTAGTTAGGTCGCTTTATATAAATTAACTTTGTTGTCGTTTCTCAAGTTTTACCCAAATGCCATTTCTGGAGCGAAGAATAGCTTCCGGTCGTGGAATGGTCTCGTGTTCTAGATCTGGCAAAATCTTGAACCTAGTGATAAATATAGATTGGTTATATCATAATATATACGATTACTACTGGTTCTCTAAACATGTGTATCGTTACAATTCACTGACATCAAACAAACACTCTTCAAATCCGGTTCTAGTCATTATCGACATGACTTTCTTGCAAAAAGCAAAATTTCTCCAAAATGTCCTGCAGATTTTGTTAAGAAATATTAAGTTTTCATTTTGAAACAAACCTCATTTGACACTCATACTGATGTAATTGTAAAGATGAAATAAGATACAGATCTTAATTTGTGTTTCACTCGGCTGCTGTGTGACGCACATGTCTCATTTCACCTACCGTTTGATAATCTTTGCAATCGCCACTTTGATTTCATTCATTGCAAAATTTTGGCCAATACAGTTTCTGTAAAAAAGGAATAAGCTAGAGTTCCATTGCAACTGTCGTCTATAAAATAGGAGAAGGTTACCATTCCTGCACATAAGACTTAAAATCCTGTTCTCATTTCAGATATCTCTTTCTAAACCGTACCTTTATGCATAATGTGCCCACGTATAATCAATTTTGAGTTTAAAACATCAGTTTATTTACATTTGAGAAATTTTACATTTCATTTTAATGGACACATTCATATACTAAAAAGCAGTTGTCTTTCGCACAGCTGCACATTATATCCCAAACCATGTCCTTACTCATTTTGTTGTGATTGAAAATTTCTTTATGTTCTTTATCGTTAAGACTTTCAGTGTTAAACCATTCCTACTAAATATGGCATGAGGCAATGAATATCGTGTTTGACAAATACAGGTAAATTATCATTTTCGTCTGTAGAATTCTGCACTAATTCGACAGAATGCATGTACATGTATTTCATATCTGAGAGAAATGATGCCTGCACCAAAGCTGCAATCTGCTTGTCTATGTCAAAATCAAATCAAGTTTTTGCAGTTTTAAGTTATATTAGTTAAGCGAGTTCTTTTACTCTTGGAAACTGTGAAAGGAAATGATTGGTTGGATAAATGCAAAGACATGTGATTGGAAAAGTCGCTGACAACACAGGAAACGTACATCATAATGATACATAGAAAACAACAAAGAAAACACTCAACAGACCCAAAATTGGATAAACACCCTGGAAAAATACGATAAGAAAAAGACTAGAAGTTCCGAAAGGACACGCGTTTTCTGCTTCATTCATTACACCCGTTATGTAAGTCCTGGCAAAGGCAAGCAATTAATGCCACGTTCCCTAAAGCGAACAATGTACACAGCAACGGACCATCAGGTATATTAATTGTTATCAAACACGTCCAACGTTATACATGTATCGTAGGATATTGAATATTTTTTTCCAATGAGATCATTATGACGAACCTTCCCATACTTTCCACCATTTTTTTTCTATTATATACGCATATATAGTGATGATAAGAAACTAAACCAAACCCATACCTTGGACCTGCTGAAAACGGAACGAAACTGAAAGGATCCCTCGTGGTCTCTTCGGAAAATCTGTCTGGCCTAAAATTCTGAGACATTTAGACACAAATGATTAAACAATGTGTGGTAATTATGTAAATGTTACATTGAAATATATGCAATACTTGATTTCATCCTTTCAGTCATATTTTTACTAATGCTACAAAAACTCGTATAATGCTTATTGCATCGAACACAGTTTGTATTTTTTGTTTGATAGAATAAGGTAATATTCAGAGTAACGAAAACGAAGCACGTTTAGATAGATGAATGTTTTGGATAGAAAATAAAGTATCATTTATCAGACTATTTTTCCTTTGGTTTCAGAAATCAAAAAGGCAATATATCATGTATCTCACTTCAGGATCCGTCCATACATCTTCGCGATGGTTCATTGAGTCAATGAGGATGTTCACTTCACTGTTGGCTGGTATTGTCAGTCCATCTACAATGTGTTCTCTAGTTGTAATTCTAGCTATCACACACACTGGAGAGTACACACGCATTGATTCCTTCAAAAACAGTGACAGTCTTGACATCTCCTGAATGTCTGACCTACAATAGAGAAACATAATTTTCAATTCGCAAAGTTACTGTTTAAACCGGACTACAATGAGCTCTTCAATACCAGGTCTATTTCCCGAAAATTGATATATATATATATTAGGAGTAATTTGTTTCGACAGTTTTACCGATGAATGTGTATATTTACGTTTTTTTATTAAATCTGACGGTACAAGTTATAAATCTTTCAAATTTGGATTCGAAAATAACAAAATGAAAGTTTTCAGAATACTTCTTAGATGTCGCGTGGAAACTGTCATTGTGTCTAAGAAAGAGGTGACCTTTCAGTGTCAGCATTGATTAAAAAACGAGTATAATTATCACTACGTATAATAGGAGCAAACCTTGTCAGATAATCCCATCATTGTCTGTTTGAATTCAACACACTTGCACCAACGTTAATCTTTTTAATCGCATTTAATATTTTAGGAGTACTTGTAATGTTTATTGATATTCAAAACTTATAAATAGAAAGTAAAATTACCATATGCAAAAATAAATAAAATTAATAAACAAAAATATGCCTTTTCAAAGTGTTTTATATGATTAATCGTACCATTCCACTTGTGTCTTGTCTCCTATCACCCTCCGAACTTCCTCATACACCTTCTGCTGTTCGTCTGGATATTTGGAGCAAAGATACAGTGTCCAGCTGATTGCAGCCGCTGTGGTATCATGACCTGTAATTTAATATCACAAAATAAATCATAGTTAGTTACGTAATTTCAGGTGTTTCTGATTAGTAGAATATGTTGTATAAAATAAAAAGTATTTGCAATATGACTACGTTGTATGTGATAGATGAACTGACATTCAATAGACTTCATTGAACAAGCTGAAGAGGTATGTTTTAATGACTACAAATGTCACTACGGAGTACAAAGAGCAGTCTCTAGGTAAACTTTTGTTTGTAACATTGCTGCTTGTGTTTTATCAATTGTAACTGGAATGTAATGAGATAATAGATAATGACAAACTCACTAACACGTGGATACCAAATCATTTAACTCATACCAATTATCTAACAATATTGTTTCACGAATTCAAATTTATACTTTTAGTTTTACGTGTCCAAATTTATACTTTCAGTTTCACGAATTCAAATTTATATTTTCAGTTTTACGTGTCCAAATTTATACTTTCAGTTTCACGAATTCAAATTTATATTTTCAGTTTTACGTGTCCAAATTTATACTTTCAGTTTCACGAATTCAAATTTATATTTTCAGTTTTACGTGTCCAAATTTATACTTTCAGTTTCACGAATCCAAATTTATACTTTCAGTTTTACGTGTCCAAATTTATACTTTCAGTTTCACGAATTCAAATTTATACTTTTAGTTTTACGTGTCCAAATTTATACTTTCAGTTTCACGAATTCAAATTTATATTTTCAGTTTTACGTGTCCAAATTTATACTTTCAGTTTCACGAATTCAAATTTATATTTTCAGTTTTACGTGTCCAAATTTATACTTTCAGTTTCACGAATCCAAATTTATACTTTCAGTTTTACGTGTCCAAATTTATACTTTCAGTTTTACGTGTCCAAATTTATACTTTTAGTTTTACGTGTCCAAATTTATACTTTTAGTTTTACGTGTCCAAATTTATACTTTCAGTTTTACGTGTCCAAATTTATACTTTTAGTTTTACGTGTCCAAATTTATACTTTTAGTTTTACGTGTCCAAATTTATACTTTCACTTTTCCTTTTTTTGAATGCATTAAAGAGGCTTTATACTTTCATATCAGGATCATGATATCTTATAGGAATTTAAACAAAGATAAATAGATACAATGCTGTTTAGTTATCACTAAGAATTTGTCTTTGATTACTGACCTCCAAAGAGGAAGGTGTCGACCTCGTTCCTTAGCTCAAAGTCCGTCAGTCCTTTCCCCTCTTCGTCTCTGGCGGTGAGTAGGATATCCAGGAAGTCCAGTCGACGCTTGGTCATAAGGGAAGGGTCGTCCGCCTACAGATAAATATTTACATATTCATGAGGTTAGATACATTGAATGTTCAACAAGATTTCATTTGTTTTGTATTATGACCTTCATATCTTGATGGCGTCATACACATTGTGACGTAAGTAAACAAATTACAGTATGAGAGTTTCAGCATTAGATCTTATACCAGTCGAATGAAACTCCCCGCGAAGGTTTTTATATCTAGTCAATGTACCTGATAATACAGATATTCAGCTGGACTTTCATGTAAGATTGATAAAAATCGTCAGAAAGGAAAACTTACAAAACTCAGTTTTTATAAATATTAATGAAAATATAGCTACATGTATTATCTTTTATATTTAGATAATTCACTGTTATTGTGAAAATATACTTACAATGGATTTTCTTCGTTGTTGGATGACCTTTTCATCAAAATCGTGTACATATTTTACATACTGAAAATATTTCTTGCCATCCGCGGAGAGTCGATAAAATATTTCTGGGTACAGCCAAGGTTTCCTGTTGGAGATTACATCATCCTATTGTTAAATACACGACTATGCAAGAGATAATATGAATGTGTTTTCCTCTATGGAAAACTAAGTTTATTATTTCGCGTAACATAAATTTCGATAATGAGATGAATTGATGCGCATAAAGAATCTGTTTCGAATGGAATTGCACCGTTGGTTGCAAATGTTTGTGAGATATACATATTGTTTAACATTGCCTATCTTCACAACTATTTCAGAAAAATATTTTAAAACATATCACTTTTGAAGATAAATATTTGTGAATTGTTATTTATTGACGGCTAGTTAAATGTTATGAGATGTCAGTCGTGCGATATTTACAATTAGAAATCTAATGCAGTTAAAATGTATCTTAAGGACTAGATTTGTTTTGTGTCAGCAATCTCTTTTTCAACAATCTGTGCAGAGCGATAGAGATACAATATTTTGTTATATACCACTACTGAATTCAATCCCTTCAAATATTACAATTGACGATGTGTGTCATTTCAGGAATGAAGGATACAAATATCATTCCACGAACCCCTACCCCCTCCCCCCCCCCAACCCCCCCCCCCCCCCCAAAAAAAAAAAAAAACAAATAAACAAACAAACAAACAAAAAGAAATAAGAATAAAAAAATACCTTAATTACATTAGCCAGAACTCTTCAAGTTATGATATTCATGCTTAGCAATTTCATCATCATCGTCTTATCGAAAATTCTTAAGAAGGTACAAATTCAGAATATATATTGTACTTTTCATATCACCATCGTTATACAAACCAGTCATTTTTATGCAATTTCTTGACAGGAATTTGTATACAATGGATATTCAATGATGTCGTCAACTTAACAAAGTACTTACAACATCCTAGCACCTGCTAGAGACAGTATATTCCGGACAGCGGTCACGTAAGGATGACTTGAGCTATACAGAAAAGAAGATTTTAATTAAAGTGAATGTTACTGACAGATCAAAGATGAGGAAACGATGCATTGTTTGCTTTCAAAGAAATTTTCAGTTTTCCAATATTTTATATAGCCATATACATCAAGTAATATATTGGTTTTGGAACAATGTGATCAATAAAGAAACATATTTGAAATGACTTGTACCGTTGGTCGGAACGTTTGTGAGAGCTAATTTCATATTTTTTCTTTTCCAAATAGCAAAATATTAACATCGTTTTACGATAACCGGAGTTGGCTTGATATAACATTGTACCATTTGTGCTTATATTTCTGTATCAAGGTACACTTTTATTTGGTACCTAAACGACACATGTATATTAGGTGCCGTGGTACATAATACTTCAATCTGCCTGACTGTATTCCACTATCGTAGTTTTCCTCGGTAAGCTAGTCAAAACAAGGATTGTTCTAGACTGTTTGGCATTTTCACGTGTTTAATGTCCAGAAAATGATGACAATTAAATTAGTTTTGTTTGTTTAATTGTTTAGTGATAAATTACCTACCCTTCCTCCTGTATTTGTTCATCAAACGAAAATGCACATCTTAGAACTGTATCCAGGGTAGCCATACCCGCAGGCTCACTGAGTTCCACACCTTTACCGTCAGATGATGCCTCCTCCAGTTTTGTCTTGAATACATTTTATAACGTTTAGTTTTGCTTATCTGAGAAATGATCATTTTAATAAAACTGCTATTTCATTGCTGACAAAATACAAGTGTGGTTGGAGATTTTATAGAGACAATTATCATGCATTTAATGTGAAGTGGGCAGACAAGCAAAATGTAAGTGCCAACTTAAGGCGATGTAATATCGAGACCAGGTTCAAGAAAGGGTTCCAGCGCTCTAGACGTACTATAAAAGTGTCGAATACTTTGTTGAAAGTAGGAACATATGATTTTAGAATGTCAAAATGGAAGGCCGGGGTTAAAAGACGTCGGTTTCTCTCCCACTGCTTTCCCGAATTCACCAACAGGCCTTGTCCTGTTTATAGAAAAAGTACAGAGAGTCACCATTTATATAAAACGCAGATCTCAAAATAGGAGTAATGTAGTACTTTCTAGATATATTGCTTTTTAGACTCTGTTACTGACCTCTTCGTATTTGATACCGAGTTATTTCAGTTAAGGCTAGATAACTTGTAGCAAAATCTCATTCGAGGCCAATCTCAAGACGGAGTAATTTTTCTAGAACATAAACGAAATACGGACTCCATTTCCCGCGCAAGATTTGGCCGAAATTGCATAAAAAATTTCAATTATTTTAATTTTCAAACTGTTCTATTTGAGATTACCTCCTTTAATGGATGTTAGAAAGTCAATACGACGTAATTTTAATTAAGGCATCCCTGGCGTGAAATATCGCGTAAATGTAGCAGATCGATTTGACATACAAGAAAAAAACTAGCGCTCTCCGTTCATGTTCAAGAACGTGTGTTTCACTGCAAATTGGAACCAGCTGGCCGAAATGACCGATGCAAAACGCATGATTTATCGCATATCAAAGTCAGGACAAGACTGTTAAAGTCGTTTCTTATTTGAAAATTCACCCTTTGTAATATTTGAAGAAAATAAATACTTTTTTCCAAATCAGGCAGAAATTAACAACAGCCCTTAGCCCCAAATGATGCCACAGTGAAAATACAAATGATAGTTTTTATCGACTTATTGACATTTATTCATATCACTCTGTATTTTAGATATTTAAAAAACCCCACTATGCATCGCATAGTGTGCATGGTCTCGGTAATATTAGAGTGAGGAATTCAAGACAAGAGAGACAACTGGATAAGAAAAATGTTGTTATCAACATATCTGTGTCATCCAATCACTTTTCATTACTTACCTAACCATGGTACAAATGCAAAGTAACCGCCGCCAGTCTGCACAGGTTTTGGTTCGGTCGTTTTCAAAATTATCTTGGCTGTTTCCGGATGACACAGGGAAATTACAGGATAGAAAAACATAATCCACATCCCGGAAACTTTCTTTCCAGTCTCTTTGATCCCTTTATCTACTAGACGTAAGTAGTCTGCAAACTCTGGCATCTATATCAAAATAGTATTCTTAAAAGTACAAAAGTTAGAAAATCTCGAAATGATAAACCAGGAACTGGTAATATGGGAAACTGACAAGAACACTTATGGTATCCCAACACTTAAATATTAAATAACAAAAATCAATGCTTTCTTGCAAATACTAGTAACTACAATAAAAAAAAACGCTTGATGTTTAATGATGATTTAGAGATGCGATAGAATAAAGGCATGTCAAACCGATATCTGCCGTCAATTGTTTAAATCGTCCGGCAAATAGCCGAAGTAAAGAGTAATCAAATAGCCAGTATGTGAGTCTCGCAAACAGTTTCAAATATACAACATATTAATGAAGGTATATTTTTCTATTTCCTTTTCAAAACTTAAACGAGACAATTACAAGAGGACATAACCGAATTCAATATTAAATTTATATAATTTTCTTCATTGGCACTGAAACAAAGAGTCGACTTAAGTGATGTCCGTGTTGATTGGAATTACTAGTATATGTACGTCACTTTCAAAAAGCTGAATTTACTTACCAGGTGTAAATGTCCCCAGATAGGATGACGCTTGCCAATCGACAACATTGCGCTTGATGAAAATAAAGCACTGTTTGTTCTATGTGTTTTGACTAAAGTACTGCCCTTCCGTATGAGATATACGAGAAGTATAGTACCACATATCAACACTGAGAAGTCCATGCTTTTGTTGTCTGAAATAACAAATACATTGCATTAAAGAACATTAGTTACAAAGTTCGTTACATTTAAAGTAATTGTCTCTTCGTATCTAAGGAATTATAACCTTGAAGAAAGAAACATTTTAAGCATAAACTTTCGAATATCGATAGTTTTCAATAAGAATTTTATCAGTTATAATACAGATCAAATGCCTATGGTGAAATATTGCAAAATTCAGATGATTAGCATAATACAATTACATACAAAGCATCTCTGATGGAAAGAACACGTCCTGATTATATCAGTGGAATGACAAAGAGAATTACAAATAGTGGACCATAAATACATAATTTCCAAAAAATATCAAAATTATTATAGTAGTAAAATCTGAATATGAGTTATGTCCAAAACCTTATCGTCATATATCACACATACACTCAATAAACAAGAACATAACACTACACTACACTTGAGAATCTTTCATCCTTTCTGTCATATGTAACAATGGGTCGAAACAGTAGATACCAAATGACAGAGTACAGAGCGAAACTGCTATTTAAGTTGAGGATTCAGTGGTAACGTATTCCTTTTCTAGGCGACCGGGGTTCGATTCTCCAATCTGACGTGGACAGGTATAGATTATCTCATAGACTGCGCTTTCCCGATGTTCCGATTTACCAATCAATCGTTTGCTGCTAGACAAACTGGAATTGTTACTATCACTGGTTTCGTATTTGTTGAGAAATAATATATGTTTACAGGGGTAATTTCCATGAAGTGGCAACTTTTCCCGTGAATGTAAAACGCAATTTTACGGACATATTGACAATCCTTAATTTGCTTTATCGAGTAAGAATACAAGTGTTGGAAAACGTTTCTTTTACGAATATTTTAGTAGAAATGCGGACCCTTACGGGACCCCCAGTCCAAAGGGTGCCCCGATCACGCAACATTGCATAAAACAGATATGTGTTATCAACATCGCCTAACTACAGTAGCATGTCATACATTGTGCATTCTATAGCAATGACGGGATTGAAGATCGATCAATGAAATTCGTTTTTGAGAATGGGATATTTCCTATCCGCATCAGGCGGTACACTAGTTTAAAATACATATTTCAGATCATACACATACACCACAAGTACACACGTGTGTAAAGTCCGGTATAAATGTATGCATTGAGGTTACAGGCAGTAAATAAACGAATAGTGACAGAGATAGACAACTCTGATGTTGACCTAAGAATGCGACAGGAGGTAACGTGCTCTTCGTTGTTGAAACATTCAAATTAAATCAATCGATATTTTGTCTCTTAAGTCCGCTACTCAAACCTTCCATTTTATATCCTTGTGTTAAATGTATCTTTGATTACGTGCCCGTAAGACTCCTGTGTCAGTAACGAATGCAGTTTCGGGTTGTATGTCCTAGTTATTGAATGGTATATGATTCATATACTTGTGTTCATACATACCTTGCTTGTAGATCTAATCGATCCTGTAATGAAACATTCACTCTAAGAATCGCTTATCAAATCTTATTCTCGTGAGGTAACACGTGATAACAAATCACCAAATGTTGTTTGCTTTGCGCTATTTTTAGATATTACAGAACAAAGCCTGAACCAGATTAGGACTAACATGAATCACGTCCAATTGTCCAGTGAAAGGAAATGGAGACAGTTTTTATCGATTGACATATTTTGATATTTCTATCTTGACGGCTCGATGAGACACCGAGACTGAACTTTCATCGTCGTTATTTGTCTGAAATAGCAAATATATTACATTAAAGAACATTAGCTACAAAGTTCGTTACATTTAAAGTAACTGTCTCTTCGTACCTAAGGAATTATAGCCTTGAAGAAAGTAAATTTTAAGCATAAACTTTCGAGTATCGATAGTTTTCAATAAGAATTTTGTCAGTCAAAATATAGATCAAATGCCTATGGTGAAATATTGCAAGATTCAGATGATTAACATAATACAATTACATACAAAACATCTCTGATTGAAAGAACACGTCCTGATTATATCAGTGGAATGACAACGTTAATTACAAATGGTAAACCAAAATACATCATTTCCAGAAATATCAAAATTATCAAAATTATTAAATTAGTAAAATCTCATATTTTGGTTTAGCAAAATATGAATATGAATTATTTCCAAAACCTTATCGTCATTAAGCCCACAGACTTTAGACAGGTAACATTTTTACATGCCAGAAATACATGTTGCCTGAGGTAAATATGTCAAGTAACTAGGTATAAATGGTACTAATATTATATCATTAGATCTGATAGGTTAGACAAGTTAGAAATGTTTGGTCTGGCTACCTTGATCATTCATCTTTTTCTGGATCGCTCATTCTTATTAGAAATGGTATATAAACCCTTTCTGTATCTTGATACTGATTCGGTATCCAGATACGTACCTGGGAACACCCTGTGTACGTATCACAAATACACTCATTAAACAAGAGCATAACGCTACATTACACTTGTGAATATTTTATCTTTTCCGTCATATTAAACAATGGATCGATACAGTAGATACCAAACGACAGAGTACAGAGCGAAACTACTATTGAAGATGAGAGCTCAGTGCTAATGCATTCCTATTTCTAGGCGACCGGGGTTCGATTCTCCAATCTGACGTGGATAGATATAGATCATTTCATAGGCTGCACTGCTCCTTCTCGATGTACCGATTTACCACTCAATCGTTTAATGCAAGACAAGCTGGAATTGTTACTATCACTGGTTTCGTATTTGTTGATAAATAATATATGTTTACAGAGGTAATTTCCATGAAGTGGCAACTTTTCCCGTGAATGTAAAACGCACTTTTACGGGCATATTGACAATCCTTAATTTGCTTTATCGAGTAAGAATACAAGTGTTGGAAAACGTTTTTTCAATGACTGAAATATTTTAGTACAAACGCGGCCCCTTACGGGACCTCTGGTCCCAATGGCGCCCCGATCCCGTAATATTGAATAACACAGAATCATGTCATTGACATTGCCTAACTACAGTAGTATGATATATATTGTGCATTCTATAACATTGACGGGATTAAAGATCAATGAAATTAATGTTTGAGAATGGAATATACCCTGTCCGCTTACAGCTTAAACGAATAGTAACAGAGATAGACTAATCTGATGTTGGCCTAAACATGCGGCAGGAGGTAACGTGCTCTTCGCCGCTGAAACATTCAAATTGAATCAATCGATATTGTGTCTCTTAAGTCCGCTACTCAAACCGTCCATTCTATAAACGTGAATCTTTGAATAAGTAGCTGTAAGACTTCTGGGTCAGGAACGAATGCAGTTTTCTTGCGGGTTGTATGTCCTAGTTATTGATTATCATTTTTGTTACATTCTTAACGGCCAGTCAACACATAAAAGGTCATTAGGGCCATCATACGGTAAACACACAGCGATCCAAAAAGGAAATTACATTAAACAAACCAAAAGGTGAAGACAAATGTTAAAAATCTTAAATGGGTATGTTAACACAAAATATTAAAATGGTACGTCATAGTCTATTATATAGACCAACATCTTTCATGTAATGTAGAATTTTACAAATCTCAACAATTTCAAAAAGGGATTTTAGACATGTAATGTTACGATAAAAAACGTTCTCGAGTAGACAGAAGGTCAATGCAGTCCAATAAAAAATGTATAACGGCGAATGGCTCATCACATCCTATGCACCAAGGATTATCTTTGCCTTTCATCATATATGAATGTGTAAGGTATGTATGACCCATCCGAAGACGGGCAAGAACAACTTCGTCTAGGTGGTTGTCTCTATAGCCCGGAGACCATTCACCGATAACAGGTTTAACGGAGTGCAATTTGCTATTGGTATTACAATCCTCCTGCCACTGAGCTTTTAAAGTTTGTTTAATAAATGATTTGAAATCGGTAAAATGAAGTTTAAAAACAACAGGTGGAAGCGATAAAGCTTCCTTTGCGGCACGATCTGCTTTTGCATAGCCTGGTATTCCCATGTGCCCAGGAACCCAGCAAAAAGCAATACGAAAGTTAAAGGCAAATTCATGTTATAGTGTTAATGACAGAGATAGACTAATCTGCTGTTGGCCTAAACATGCGGCAAAAAGTAACGTGCTCTTCGCTGCTGAAACATTCAAATTAAATCAATTGATATTTTGTCTCTTCAGTCCGCTACTCAAACCTTCCAGTCTATAAACGTGTATCTTTGAATACGTAACTGTAAGACTTCTGGGTCAGGGACGAATGCAGTTTTCTTGAGGGTTGCATATCATAGTTATTGAATGGTATATGATTCTTATACTTGGGTTCATACATACCTTGCTTGTATATCTAATCGAGAGCAATTTTAAAAAACCACATAATTAACAAACGTTATAAAAATTAATTCAATAACATTGGTTTTTAATGAGTATGTAACAAAACTTTTCACTTGACAGGCTATCCTCACATTCATATGTGGCCACACAATTAAGAGATTTAATATGTTACGTATTTACATGCTAGTTAATTTATCTAGATACCTGTTTGCTTCTTGTTTTACCTTTATCCTTTTTTCAATTAAATTGGGCAAAAATTGCATGATGGGTGTTGCCATGGAAACAGAAGACGTTTATCCCTTCGGAACATGTGGTTGTATTTGCTTGTACTTTGTAATAGGTCACCGTAGTAATCTTTCTTTAGGTGATATTTAGGCGTCGATCCATTTTCTTTAAGTTAAGATTCTCTTGAAATATCTGTCTATTCTCTGAATTTTTTTTTCTTTTAACGATGTTTATTGAACCATTGACATGCTCCTCATTGTAGATATTAGTCATCAAATAACCTGGTCTTGCTGTCCGTTATCGTAGTCATACTCACTGATTTTATTGCACCTCGGACTAGAATGCATTGATCTGATTGGACGTTGCTTGCCCCCTATAAATCTATAGGGGGCAGCTGAATATATAGGGGGCAATGGCCGCCATCCATTATCCCCGTCACTTCGTAATTTCAAATCACAGATTGGCGATATTCACATTCTGTTCCGTGTCGGAATATTGGCTAGAGTGAATCTAGAAGTTGCTATTATCTAGTACGAGTTGTTTCCCCTACACGAAGCACCTATTTGACTCGGATCAAAAATGGCTGGGCGGTTCGGGCAGACGACAGCTGCAGACAAGGAAAAAAACGCCTGGCACTTAACGCTGATAAGACGTTAAAAGCTAATAAGTTGGCCGCTAAAGTGTTCAAAGATTATTTGGTGGAAAAGCAGCAAAACCCAGATTTTGAAGATTACGATGTAGTCCGACTGGACGAATGTCTTGGCCATTTTTACATGGATGCCAGGAAATGTGATGGGACGTATTATATATATATTTAAATGGGTCCTTGGTGCAATAAATTCGTTATGTAGTTTGCTAGTCCCCCTACAGTTAGGGGTTCAGTCAGTCATACCAATTTGACTGAACTGATTATGTTAGTGTACTGATTTTGACATGGTTCCACACTATATCATGACTAATCTTGAAATGAAATGTGCTGTTGTCTGCAATGGACATTGTCTTTAATAAATTTTCTTTAATCTTTCTTTTTATGTTTCTATATTTCAAATTGAATAATGAAAAGGGTGCGATTGTCATAGATATACGTTTTATATCGCGACTCGTAATTCGTGAACTAAATACCTATACCATTTTCATTGGAACATTGCTAAAATTATCATAAACACCATTCGATATTCTTCTATTTATTGTTGGAATTTGCAGATAAACTTTCAGCAGCTGAAACGTTATTACAGGAAATGCTTAGTGGTGTTATTGGAGGTTTATTATCATAAACACCATTCGATATTCTTCTATTTATTGTTGGAATTTGCAGATAAACTTTCAGCAGCTGAAACGTTATTACAGGAAATGCTTAGTGGTGTTATTGGAGGTTCTACACCATCCACGTGTCTCGATCTTTTTCCACAACTGAACAACATTCCATAAAAGCTGTATGATAAGCGTAATAATTCAAATTTCGCATTAGTGCAATTTCGGGATAACAAATCCCTACATCACCAAACTATGCTGCTTACATGTTCCAGTTGATTTTATATCCAAGTTCACTATGGCAGCCAGTCAAAACATGTTAAAGGTTTAAAGCAGATGTGGTGTAACATGTGTATGTTGAAATGAATCAATAATGCATTGGGAGTTGAATAACTTTTGTGCTATGATACGAGCAGATACTATATATTTGAAGAAAAGATAGATAAAAGATTCAATATACATAATGTGTGTATCGTTATCTGCATGGTATTATATAATGGAAGACATTTTAAGATATTTTTCAACAATATATATATGCGTTACCTTGAGTGTTACATTAATGTCCTTTAATTGATGATATGATGGAAGATTATGATACCATATAAAGAAATATATGACGAAAAGACATAGGGGTTCAATCGACAGCATGGGTTTATCGTTACCTACAAAATCATTTCGAGGATTACTGTTCTAAAACAAATATATTAACATGGATTTTTTTCTGTTAAGGCATATTCAATTAAAAGTAAATGAACACTAGTACACATATGTGTCAAGCTGGTGATCCTCCGATCTCGAGGACCAAAATTGATCTTTTATTAATAAAATATTCACAGTTATGTTAATGTCTGGCTTTGCTAACAATTTCTTCAGATTTGTAGGGATATCAACACTGTTAATTCACATTGGCACAACACTTACAGATGTATCTAATAATAGTTTCATTATTATGTAAATTTCATTTTTGAAATTTAATATATTTCATATACATTCATGAAATATGTAAGTTATTCTCAAACTACGATTATAAAACAATTCGGCTTTGATATTCTTATCAATCGTATTTCTTTAATAGAATCATCGATGTAAACCTTTGTATCGTGACACGTGACCAACCGAGTTTTTATCCGCCAAGTTATCGTAGAAGACATATTTGGCATCATTGCATTTAATAACCATGAGGAGCACAGATGGAATATTTGTTCCCCGTTAAACAGTTGAGGAGACTAGTTAACAGAGTATATTAAGAACCGATGTCTTCAGTTCTATTTTCAAGTTTAACCCAGAGACCAGACTTCGAGCGTAGTATTCCTTCGTATGATAATATCGGTGAGTGGTCAGTATCAGGAAGTAGGCGGAATCTGAAAGAAAACCAATGTACCGAAAACAGCTAGAGCAAAAATAAAGTTTAAGTACGATCTCTTAGAATTAATTGTTATGATAATAATGATTATAATTTATTTTTGTTAATTTTTTATACGTTTAATATATCAAAAGGTATAGAATGATATAAATCCTGTTCAATGGAACAATATATCTGTATTCCTGATAAACATTATTGGCGAAAGTTGGCAATGAACATTCCCTCGATTAATCCTACCTTTGAACTAATTTGGCAAGCGCTACTTTCATTTCATTCATGGCAAAGTTTTGTCCAATGCAATTCCTGATGATTTATTAGCGTAATCCACATGAAAGAAAATGGCATTTATATTCATACATGAACAGCTTTAAATTTCGTGCATTCTAAACTGTTGTGTTCATTTCAGTAGTCATGTGGCTGGTATTTCATCTTAACTGTAACTAAAATGACGATAGATATAAACCTACCGACATATATTAATCATAAACTAATCTATGTATGTGAATATATCCATTTTAAACCAATGTCATAACGATGCCTGTATAATGGCTAACGAAAAACGATTGGCATCAAAAATCTCAGGCGTAAAGAAAGAAATAAACATTTATAGTTCTTTATCAAAGATTTATAGATCGTATTTCATACAAATATATGATCTCTAGAGTTTAGAGTTAGTTTTAACATAAATACAAATGTACAGCATGCTTGATACTACAATCATGACTTTTGATTGATCGGCAAATTGTCTTACCTTGGACCTGCTGAGAAAGGTACAAAACTATATGGATCTCTGTCTGAGTCATCCATAAATCTGTCTGGTCTAAAAGTCTGTAGATAAAAGAAAATTGAACGTTATATTGAAAACGTGTTTGTTTCCACAGGATGTATGATTTTATTAACGCAGCGGCGAGAAGGACCTATTTACATGATCATATTTCATTTCAAAATCGATAAAACAAAGCCAGAATATAACGCAATGACCTTTGATGAAAGAACGAAATTACGGAAGTAAAAAGACAAGGAATTCGAGAAGAGTAATCATCTGCTTTATTTGTAGCAGCATCGATGTGTAAATAGCACATTCCGAAAGGAAATAAGTGTTAAAGTCATTAAAACCAAATGATTAAACAAACTGCATCATAGAGCTGTATAGTCCTACAGCAATGTTATGATCATCAATTTCGAAACCTTGGATAAGACATAAAGAAAAATATGATTGATCATACGAAATGTGCGTGGGAAGTTTACTACTAGCATCACAATTCCATAAAATGCTTATTTACATAGTTCAAAAAGTTCCAGAAAAACGTCAAGAATATGCGGAAATTTGTAAACCGTGCTACTATTCGAACGAATTTAAACATGGTATGTAGGTTACGACAGCATTGGAAAATACAGGTCCATCGGCGATGTTTACTACCTGCGACCTCTAAAATTGTCTAAACTTTTATTATTATTATTACAATCTTAACGGCACATAAAAGATCATTAGGACCATCAAACGGTAAACCACAGCGATCCAAAAGGAAATTACATTAAACAAACCAAAAGGTAAAAGTCAAATGTTAAAAATCTTAAATGGGTATGTTAACACAAAAGATTAAAATGATACGTCATAGCCTATTAAATAGACCAGCATCTTTCAGGTAATGTAGAATTTTACAAATCTCCACAGTTTTAAAAAGGGTTTTTAGACATGTAATGTTACGATAAAAATGTTCTCGAGTAGACAGAATATCAATGCCGTGAATAAAATGTTTAACGGTGAATGGCTCATCACATTCTATGGACCGAGGACTATCTTCGCCTTTCAATATATATGAATGTGTAAGGTATGTATGACCCATCCGAAGACGGGCAAGGACAACTTTGTCTCGGTGGTTGTCTCTACATGTATACATTAGTCACAGGCTTTTCAATAAAAATTCAATCTTAGTTATGCCATATGCACAAATATATATAAGAGAAACATAAGGATAACGTACTACGTAATGTCATTTTCTGATGTAGTATATACTTTTACCTCGGGATCTTTCCAGACATCCTGTCGATGATTCAACGCGTCAATGAGAATCGTGATTTGATTGTTAGCTGGAATTATCATTCCGTCAATTTCAGTATCATGCGTTGTAACTCTGGAGATGAGAGGGACTGGATTATACATTCTTAATGTCTCTTTAATGAACAATGGAAGTCTTTGTAGAGCTTGTATATCCGACCTGAAATAATGAATTAGAAATGTTGCAAACATCTGCAAAACTATATGATAGACACATTGGAATACCAAGGCAAAATACAAGGACAATTAAGTGAATTCATTAAGAGTAGATGTAAACTTAAAGAAATGTATTGTGATTTATAATGGACAAATAAATTTTAATATGGATTAACTTTATTTAGTTTGCAAATATATTGACTTTTCTGATTATTTCAATTTAGTGACAGAAGAAGATATGAATGCGTTTTAGAGAAGACATCGTCATGACCACAACTTCTCTCTCAATCTTTGTATTTTATTTCTCATTTAGGTTGATGCAGCTGTGTAACTTTAACGTGAATTAAATACGATATTCTTTAAAACACCTTGCATGCAATATTCGAGTTTCATATGATATTTTATCGATGCACTTTACCATTCCACACTTGGTTTGTCCCCAACTACATGCATAACTTCCTCATATACTTTTTGTTGTTCAACGGGATGCTGTGCAAGCAAATACGTAGCCCAACCAAGAGCAGCGGAAGTGGTATCGTGACCTGTTGAATGACCGGAAATATGAGAAGGGAAGAAGCTGAACGTTACGTCGAAATGAGAAAACAGAAAACAAATAGTTGGATGAAGAAATCAGAAAACATCGATTGGGAGAAAACTTTCTATCACGACACACTTGAATACATAGCATATCAAAACTTCAAGACACAAGTACTGAATCATAAAAAATGACGTCTGCGGTGCTTACAAGGGGTGATTATAACCCCTGTGGCCTCCACAGTCGTCAAAAACAAAACGAACATACTGGTAAATGTTCATGCTCGGTAATTTTCTAACGTTATCTTTACAAGAAGATTAAATTATCTGTTAGAAAAAGCGGATAACTGACCAGCAAACAGGAAGGTGTCAACCTCGTCTCTAACCTCACGATCTGTCAGTCCTTTGCCTTGCTCATCCCGGGCGGTCAGCAGAATGTCTAGGAAATCCAGTCGGCGTTTATATGACGCTAATGGTTTCGATTTCTGATGACGATAAGAATGAAAATCGAGAAAAAGAAAAGCAAAAACTAGCTCCTGCATTTCGAGTTTATTTTGGAATCCAATTTCAATAAATAAGGACAAAAACAATTCAAATGGTGAAAAGTTAAAGAAAATAGTCTTTTTATGTCAGAATATAAATTCATGTCAAAGTCTAGAATTAAATTGAAAACAAAACCTAGAAAATTATGTTGGTGTATATATAAAACTTGCAATAACCATACATACCAAAGATGCCCTTCTATCTCTTATGACTTTCTCATCGAACTCGTGTATGTATTTTGTATGAGAGAAATATTCTCTTCCAGCTGCGGATAATTTAAAAAGGAATTCTGGATATAACCATGGTCTCCTATATCAAAATAAAACAATGCATCCATATTAATATCAGATTAGACAATTGTAAACATAAATCAAGAAATTACAACAACATAATCATAATCAAGCTCAAATTCCATAAACCTTGAACAATATGAGCAAATGAAAGATTTACATGGAGACTCCTAAAAAGAATAAGAAGATTAAGACCAGGTGTTCAGAAACAGAAAACGGCTTCTGCTTCATCGACGACACCTACCATGTAAACGTTGGTCGATCCACGTAAGTAATGTCACGTTCTCAAATTAGAACACCGTATACAACAACGGAACCAGCAGGCGAACTAACAAGCATCAAATTCGTCCAGCTTCGTATCACACGAAGAAATAAAATATTTCTCAATTAGATCACTAAAGCTAATCTAAATGAATTAAATGATACATTTGTCTGTCTCTAATATGACGCCACATATTGTGTAGCATGGAATATTCATGGAGTACATAATGTACATAGTCATCAATTTTTGTGTCTGTTCGCAAACCACGTAAAGAAAATGCAATGAATAGGAATGATCAGTTTATTGATTTGAAACTTAAATCATGAAAAAGTGGCTTAAATTCAGGATTTAATGTTTTTATTTGATAGTATTTTTACCATTAAAAGTTGATATATATGTATATCGATAGGTCTTTGAAAATAACATTTAATGCTAAAATGATTTCGTTATAAAAACAATTTTATATAGCACGATGTGTATACCTGATATATCGATGAATCGATTTTTAGTACAAACTGATATTGTTCGCTGGTAACAACGTTTCACATTCGGTACATAATATTTGCATTTTGTATTTATAGCCTAATCGTCGGACCATGCTAACTATATATATTCATGCAAATTGAATGATGTCGTTATAATTAAAACAGACAATGTAGCATAAAACGAATGATCAGTCGTCCTATCGACATGTATTGTTATTTCAACGTCGTTACTGTAAAATCATATATTTTCGTGAGATTTTTGTGATTAAAAATATCCTACTTTGTGAACACTTGATTTTGTGGATAAATATATATCAATAGATCTACTTAAACAGTTTTATTACAATTTGTGGACATATGGATTCGTACAATAGAAGTCATCAAAAATAAAACCTCCACGAAAATGATTGATTTTACAGTTTCATATATGTAGCCAAGGTAAAATCCCGTTGTATTTTCTAAGCATTTATATTTCATTTGGTAATCAGTGATATTTCAATACTACGAAACAAACCAATACTTACAATGTTCTGTAAGTAGTGAGGTATGTCAGTCGTCTGACGCCTTCAACGTACGGATGTTTGGTACTACCAAAGAAAAAAAAAGCAATAAATGGAATTAGTTACAGACTATAGAATGAGACATATTTTCTTGTTAGTCGAGAACCTTGCAGAAAGGTTTGCAGAAACTTCAAGGTATAAATTTTGATATAGTATTTGTGGAATGGAGAATCGCAAAGTTAATAGACGCGGGTAAAAGTTAGTGCACAGTTATTTATTCATTCTAATCACACTCCTATATCATAACGTCGTAACAAATATACCGCATCTGAATTCTATTTTTTCGATATTTCATTTCCTCGTATCCACTGCTTCATACATCCAAATCGAATGACATAAATTGACATAATCTTGATGGTAACTAGAGAAGGACATACCCGTGCATTATGATATATACACGTACCTTTGTTCTTGTACGTGAGAGTCATACGAAAAAGCAGATCTCAGCATGGTATCAAGAGCAGCTATTATAAGAGGTTCTTGTACTTCAACACCTTTACCAGCTTGTGCAGCTTTTCCCATGTTATTCTGAAACAAACAAAAATTAAGATAGAAAAAAAAATAATCAACGACAGGAAACAAAAACAATCAAACAAGCGAACAAAAATAAACATACACTCACAAAAGAAAAAGGCAAAATTAATGATAACAATGAACAATTATTGTCGTTGTCAAACTGATAGTTTTAGTGGACATAAAAGATTTGAAAGCAATTAGCTGAATAGCATCAACATGTATGATAACAGATATGCAATGAATGAAAAAAAAGTAAAACTAAATTATATATGGAGGCAATTTGAATTCCGTAAAATTAAGGTATGGAATGGATGATCAACCTATCATAAGGGAAAAAACTGCAAAACAAAAAAAACAACTGCAAAACAAGCATTATCACCGCTTCTGGCGGTTACTCGGGTATGGTTGTATCGCATTAATATAAGGCTTGGAAAGACTGATGTAGATTAGTGAAGTGATTTTTTTTACCACAAACAACATCGCTTATTTAAAGCTAATTGTAAATTAAACTTTTCTCACCAGAAATATATCAAATACTTGGTTATACATGTCGACGTATGACTTCAATACATCAAAGTGGAAGGCAGGTGTCAATAGGCGCCGGTTTCTTTCCCACTTTCGGCCATTACTTAAAACTAACCCGTCACCTGTATGAAAAATGACGTTTTAGATGGATGGCTGGAGTTATCTGTATCATCATTGTAATATTATAAACGATTTCATTTGTTATTTGTTTTTTCAATTTGATAATATGGATTAAAACCATCAATATTGCTGTTGTATTTATATGTAAAAACACATTGTCATCCCGTTTAACATAAACCATGTCATACTTGTAATTGCGATTTATATTTATACATGTTTAGCATGTTTATGAAATTCTGGAAACCACAAACACTTAAGATTAAGATATCATGATTTATATATTTCTATAATCAATTTTATAAGGAAAATTAATGTTCTTTTATTTTATTAGTAACGCAATTCTGTATACCATTCTTATCCTTATTTAGATAACCGTGACTCGACTCTGCTTGATATTTTTACGATACTACCGTTTGCCAATCGTCATTTGTTTTAATTTAAAAATATAACATGTTCGTGGCGATTGTAGCAATGGTAACAATACGCTCCCTTCAAAAAATGAATTATCAGCTAAATTTTTATTTTGAGCAAATGCAATGTTTAACGTTCTTCTTAACTACATTAACATAATTCAGTAAAGAATATTAACAATCCTACCTAGCCATGGTGTAATTGTGTAATATGCCTCTCCAAACCTCTTCGGTTTTGGTTCTGAAGACTTCAGTAAAACCTTAGCTGTCTCTGGATGACATGCTGTCAGTATCGGGAAGAAAAACATAAGCCACACACCACTTATTCTTTTCCCAGTTTCTTTGATACCTTTTCGTACTAAATAAACATAATCTGAAAATTCTGGAATCTAAAAAAGCAAAAAAGGAAAAGAAAAGTAAATATCTTTCGTTGGAAATGATAAAATATACTGTTTATATTTATGATACAAACTATTTGAAATATCTTATAATAATTTTGAATGTGAAATTCATTGTAATAATGTAATTCATAGTAACATTTTTTTTAATAATGAAGAAATAGTGCAAAACACTAAAAAGTACTCGTGATATTTCCAATTGAAATAGATTTAAATCACACCAGGCCCCGTAATCACTACAAAATCAACTGGTCATTACCAAGTGTAGATGTCCCCAGATAGGATGGAACTTTCCTATAGACAGGAACTTTTCGGACTTGTATATACTTATATATGTTCGGTAGGTTTGGATGATGGCAACGGCTTTCCACAATAAAGCACAGATCAATAGAGAACTAATTATTAGGAAAACGAAATCCATGATGAACCTGGAAACATGCATAACAATAGATGATAAACACACGAGGGAAGGAAATAGTAATATGCTGATATAGACAAATTGTGAAGAATTGTCTTTAACATCTAAAAAAATATTCCAAGACTTTATGCTTAGTTAAGTTAGAGAAATTTTCAAGGAATTTGTTTTTCACGATTAGAACAGGGGTTGTCGTTATGCTATAATTTGGCAATATTCACCTAAATAGCCACTTTTATAGACCAGGAAACAATAGTCAGTTATTAAAAGATCACGTAACAAACTAAAAGTTAGTTTTTGGTCATAAAAATCAGTGAAAGTTGTCAAACAGGTCGGTAGCAACGAATATGAAATCTGGGATTTGTGGTGATACGTATGTAATAATATCAGTAAATATATATATATATTTTTTCATATAGTCTTCGGAAAATGAAAAGTTTGCTTTCTATAATAAAAGTGCAATGTACACGAAATAATGGTTATTTTCTAACTTATCAACATGTTCATCTTTATGCAGAAAATGCAAAAATACAATAAAGTAAAACTACACATAATCCTATCGGTTGATCTTGTTAATGTTATACTTATATGAACCAAGTGAACTCAACAGCCCTAATCTTTCCCAGAGTGCATTGCGGTGCCTTCACAACATTTCGTATTGTGACAAGTAACAACAACTCATGTAGAGACTGCTAATGTTTTTGTTACTCTTTCTACTGTGCGGTTAAAATAGTGATAAAATTATATGTGCGATTTAAGTTATAGCAGGATAACATCCTACGAGGACAGAGTCACATAAATATATAATATTATACATATACATTGTTTCAATAGCCCACTAGTACATACCGTTATCTGCCCGCTTCCGTACAAGCGTTGTGTTGAAGTCAGTTTCACATAACAGACGCGATCGATCATTACTCGTACTACTTGGAACTTGTGTCTGTCATACTATCGATAGTGATTATACATGAGGTGATTGTCCCAGCTAGTCAGTTGTCAATTTCGTATCATGCTAGAGTTATATAATGAAAAGTCAGCACTATTAAGCTACCCATGTGTCCATATCCTGACTATATGGCGCGAGGGTCAAGGTCCAATGGTCGGGTAAGGTGTATATTGTGAGTTACTAATCCTAACGTGCGTGTAAACATTCAAAGTATTGTTAGCTTTCCGAGGTCATGATATGTTTTAAAAATTCATTTTCCGACCAGAATGTCCGTATCGTGGAATACTGTTATAGAAATTGCGATTTGACAGACGTTTAAATAGATTGATCCGATAACTATTTTTTTTCTTTACGTCGGGATAATGAAATCCGACAATAATAAAGAAAATATCTTCAAGACATCTCAAATATAGTTTGATATTCGACAACCATTTTGCATTATTCTTGCGTAATCCACACGTTCAACACTGAAAATATAGCAATTGGATATTTCTATAAGAGGTTTTAAGTTTGTTGAGCTTATAATAACCCATGAGACCACCTGAAAACAAAATGATATACAAAATTAATTGTTATCTTTCCATTCAAATAGGAATAATCTTTTAGTTCATTACTGTTGTCACTAAACAGTGTTTGCAATGTTAGCTATCTAAAGTTTCCTTGAACCCTGTTCAAATGTTTCAATTAATTCGCTTTGAGATTATCGGTCAAATTTTAATTAATTTCATTACTTACTTCAAAATTTTCTTTTAGACATTATTGGCCTAATGCATGGAAATTTAGCAGAGGAGAATCAATGTTTGAAGTTAGCATCGACTATTTGCCCGTGAAATGTATTAACCTTAATAGCAGGTCCTTGTTGATTTGCAGAGTTTGAAGATAGAAAAATAACAATTCCAATCGTCGACTGTCTATGTGTCGATACTTTGGTATAATGTCCTTTTGTTTTATACCAGCGAGTTGTTGTTATGGCATCAGTCGTTGAGTAGCGTTATTTTTCCAAGCAAAAGTATGCTGATACAAAACTAGCCTTCATTTACATTATTAAATACTGTAAACGCATTTAATGTGGCGCAAAAGAATTTAAATTCATCGTCACGTTTTGGCCGATTAGAGCGGTGGTCATCACAATTACAGTTAGCGTAACTGTACTTTAACGCAATATCGCAAAAGTGCTAGAATAAGTACATTTACGGTAATATTGTAATACTTTCTCAATTCCATTAGTCGTTTCGTATGTATTTCATCATTCCCTTGTTCAAAATCAGGTTGATTCAAAACGTGGGTCTTAATGAAATGAAAGAGTCAAATATTAGAGATATATAATTAGGTCACAAAGACAGGATAAAACAATAGGCAATGCAATTTAAGAGGTACGATTTTCATCACAAATAACTGTTTGTGTTTACCTCTTGATATACGAACCCAGCTTACATGTTTTAAGTGCCAATTTGTCCTATCAACTTCAGATATGTTCGTTTTACGTTTTCTATTCTCGTCATAGTTTAGCAATTGTAAAAATTGTATAAAAAACACACAACTTAGCATAAGCATAAGATACAAATACTAATGAGATACAGTAGAGTCAAACAATGAATCAAAGATAATTTCCTAGCTATCTTGTTCTTCTAGAACTTCTTCAGTGATGCTAACGTTAAAACCTAGAAGGCCCGAGGAAAAGTCAGTGATCAAAAGAATGTCGATATATAGAAGGGGTAATGGGCTAGCCACATTAATCAGTTTATTTCATAATTTTCATATGCCTCATGAATTTAGAAGTGTTTTTCGTCAAAGTGTAAAATCTTAACCGCGCCGCTATTTGAAAGAATTATATTGTGGTATGCAAGTTACGGCAAGCATCGTGGACTTAAAAGTCCAGCAGCAGTATCTACCATATGTAATCTCGAAACTTTAACGAAAGACATACAAATAAATAACACCGTATAATACAATTTCTTACTGGATATAGCAGAGCTGAAGAATGAATAACACAATAACATCATGTAGCTGTTTCAAATGTATCTCAATAAAATTAGACTTTGAACGTTGACATATTTGTAATAGAGTTTTGTTCTTGTATGATATGAATAGCACCGTTCAATACAAATATTATTGAATATAGCAGAGCTTAAGAATAAATTTAACAGTATCATGTAGCTGTTTCTAATGTATTTCAATACAATAGACTTTAAACGTTGATATATTTGTAATAGTATGCTATTGGTACGGCACGTTTTTTTTCTAAAGAAAACACAGAGTTATGAAAACTGAAGTGAAATAAAAACATCAATGAAAAAACATCATTTGAACATGAACTGAAAACAACAATGTAAATGATACCTAACAATATAATACACAATAGAACAATATAATGATAATTATTGATTCTAATTTTATTCAAAACACTCGTGTATCTAAAATAAAATCTATTACATTAACTGAGATTACCTCATGCGCATACATTGCCTTTTATTCCCACCTATTATGTAAGTTCGTGAAAGACTTGAAAAGTGGATTTTTACAGTTTTTACCAAGTACAAATGAATTAGAAATCTGCAAAATAAACCCTTATATTCAGTGTGGTACGTACCAAATTAAGCTACTGAAAACACCAACATGGCAATATAATCAGAATCCAAACTCAGTGAATAAAACGAGGGCAAAATATGAACAAAAGAACAATTTACAGAGACTCTTGAAAAAGTTCAAGGAGATTAAGACCAGGTCTTCCTGAAGAGAAAGCGTCTTCTGCTTAACTTGATCTGATCTGGTAAATCCAGGTAATGTCACGTTCTCAAATGAAGACAATGTATTCACAAACGGAATCAACAGGCAAAGTAACGAGCATCAAAAACGTCAAACTTCATAACACACATAGAAATAAAATATTTCGTAATCAGATCACTATGGCAACCATAAAATTATCCCATGATTTTAATAAACCATTTGAAAACCTATGTTACATCAAAAAATTGGAACGTCAAACTTCATAACACACAAATGTTTTGGAACCATCACGTTTATCAAACAGCTTGTCCATGTTATTTTCATTGTAGGAAAAGATCGAGAAAAGCGGCTGAGTCTTTGTGACCTGTTTTGAGAAGCTTTTCAATAAATTCAGCCTCGTATGACAACGAAAACAAATCAACCAACAGAGGGGCGCAGTTAGTTCCCGTAGGTATGCGAGTAGTTGGAAGATCTTACCACCAAACTCGACGATGATGTCAGTCAGAAGACATAGTAAATAAAAGAAGCAAGCTAACCCCTTCCGCTGTGAATTTAACTGATTACGTTCAGTGGTTTGAAGTGAAGCATAAACATTATTATAAACACTCATACTATTTATATGTTTAGAAATACAGAAATCAACAATTTATATCATTGGTATGATGACTCGTTAAACAAATCAATAAACAAACTCTCATGTTTGATTACGTTATCTGATACAAACACAGTACAAATATACCGGTTCAAATCACATGGTATAAAATCAACGCTTCTCGAGTTTGACATAGATTCCATTTTTCGAACGTGTCACCACTCCATTTGTCGGAACAGGAATATTGTTGGGATCGGGAAGTATGCGAAAACTGAAATAAAATTGTTCCTTTTAAGACATTTATATGTATTATCAAAACATAGAAATTGGAAGTATACAGGATATATTGGAGAATCACATCAGCAGAAAACAATTTACCCGATTCTTCATAATTGCGGTATTGCTTCCATTTACTTTGAATTGTCAAAAGATATTGATGAAATAAGATTGCTGAAAATAATTATTAAACGTCTTATTTTATTTCAAAATCTAGCTGATTTATGTTACTCACCGTTGAATTAACTTTGCTAATGCTACTTTCTGTTCATTCATGGCAAAATGTTGTCCGATACAATTCCTGTTTGGGACAAAATGTAACTATAAGTTTATAGATGAAAAATTTACCATTATTTTTTTTATATTTTAGTGACGATCTTATATTACTGCTTTTTGCGCTTTAAGTATTGCGCAAAGTATAGTTTTGCTGGATGAGATTCCTGTATGTTATTTATATAGCAAGCATAGCTGATGCGCTATTTCATCATTGTGCTAATTTGACAAAAATATTTTGTTATATGTTCGGTAAGCGTAAAGAAATTTGAAAAGCCTTTGTGATGGCGAATCATCGTAGTTCCCATTAGCACAAGTATAACAATGATATAATCACTCCTTTGACATCAATTATCTTACATTATATAACATTATCTTCTGAACTGTATACGTCGTATTTATATAGAAAAGTTGATATATTAATAGACAGTCGTTACAATTAACTGATGAGCATTTATCAATAAATCGACATACCTTGGTCCCGCTGAAAATGGTACATAACTGTAAGGATCTCTGTTAGATTCGTCAACAAAGCGGTCAGGACGAAACTCCTAATATTAAGTTATGAATTATAGAAAATTTAATGTAAATTGCAAATGATCACAATGTAATATATTTTTCTTATCTCAAAATATTCTATCGCTCTCTTTTTAAAATGACTTTTCAATTCTCTTAAGGAATTGTACTGGTAAGCAATTGAACATCAAATTTTCTTCTTAACAAAAGTATTCAAAATAACATTTTTACGGAGTAGATCTTGTTTAAAAAGTTGTTATTTATCTGTTTTCTTACCTCTTAGTATTATATCATAATATATTTGAGTTCGGTTTTGAAACAATATATGAATAAAACTAAAGAGGTTCTGTTCTTTTACAAACGGCCTGATTATCCATAACCGTTATGAAACAATAAAGGCAAAATAAATATACATATACAAATACAGTTTATATGTGTAACATTACATAAGCGGTAACTATTTCAATGCAATGTAACAGCTGAGGCGTAAACTTATCAAATGAATAAGACAATGTTACATCCAATTCAATAGAAAACAATCTTCAAAATCGTTTTTATTGCTTTTGATATAATCTAAGAATGCAGATCTTTTGTCTGATGTTGTCATGATCATAAAATTATTAACAACAGATAACGATTTTTTAGGATCACAAAATCTGTTATGATGTACTGTTTTAATTTTACGTCGTCATTTTTTGCAAATATAGATTCGAATTCATATTTCCACTTTTATTCTTTTTGTCACTCCAATTTAAAACACGACGATATCCGAGATATCCGTAAACGTATAACCTTCGTAAATGTTACAATTTGATACTTCCAAATAACGCCATGGTGTCATGTGGTTCGCTTTGAAAAAATATATGGCGTTCATAATCAATTCGTTTGGTATCTATTTCAAGATGCAAAATGCAATCTTAGAATTTGTCATGTATAATAAAGTATACAATGAAAGCACAATTTTGCGACCAAAACTTTGGATTTTGAAACTGAATCATAATAAAGATTTTACGAAAGACACAAATGAATAGCAACTTTTACTACATATTAAGATACAGTAGAGTCAAAACAATGAATTAATCTGTAGCATACATTGGTTTCGTCCTTCTATGATTCTAAGGTGATGCTAAGGACCGATATTTTAAGGCGACTGAGAAGATGATATTAAGAACTGACCTGTGGTTTCTTCCAGATTTCTTCGTGGTGATTGAGGACTTGTATCATAATAGTAACTTCAGTATTGACCGGAAGTGTTACTCCGTCCAGTTCCATTTTTTTTGTAGTCACTCTTGCTATTCCAGGAACGGGTGAGAACATTCTCATTGATTCTTTAATGAAAAGCGACAGCCTTGACAACTCCTGTATATCTGACCTGTGACAAGAAAACGTGAAATATCAATAACGTGTTAATGTATGTCCGGTTTTAATTCACTCTGATACTGGTACGGTTCAGCATGTAAGTATGTGTCTGTCTTTGTTCGAAAATTATCAGATATTTTTAAAAACAGAAGAATCCTTTCAACTGGTGGTCAAATGCATCTCCTCATCTTCTGACTTCCTGTAATTGTGTATCAAAAAAACTGTTGTTTCACTTTTGTGTCTTTTGCAATCTTCGAGAATTCAATTGATGGACAATGCTTGTGACATTTTAGTCAGCCAGATTTATCTGTAACCTGCCTGCCACGTTTGATTTATCGAATAATGACACGGAATAACTATATTAATTGACTCTTGGGCCTAGTGCATCTCCCCATCGTTAGTATGACATTTCTATCAATTTGGTTTCCCCTTTGTCATCTTCTGGGTATCATGATTTAGGCCCTTAGTATCGTTGACGAGTTAATCGAGGATAAAACAATTGTATTATGCAACTTAATTCACTATCTACTAATCTTCTTCATATCCATGTTTTACACTAGTGTTTGTGTATGCGGTTTGCAAGATTTGATCCGATTCAGTATTTGCTTTTCGGTTTATCTTGTTTCTTATTTGTTGATAGTTTTTGGTATTGCCTTGTAAGTTCACGTCGCTTTTCCGTACATTTTGATTAAGATATATTAAAGAATTAAGGGGAACAGCCGCAATATTGATGTGACTATTCCCGTAATTCACTTCTACAGGCATACGTAAATCGGAAGAGTGGTTCATAGTGCTTATCCATTCGAGAACAAAAATACCGATATATTATCGATGTTGAGGTGTTGATGGCTTTAGATCTGTAATTTACGTTCACGAAGCATAGAAATAAGAACACTAAGCTGAAACGTTTTTGTTGGATCTCCGATATTTTGTCAACAATTATTTCAAACCATATCATGGAAACATGAATCCCCAAAAATGGCGATGTGATGAATATATTGATAAAGACACCACCCAAAGTCAAAGAACTGAATTATATTACATGATCTTAATCACGTATTTGATACCTTAATTTTGTTGTTGATATGATTTGGCACGTCAGACATGACGATACCCAATACTCAGTCATCCTCAAGGTAACGGCCCTTCGGTTATTTATGAGTATGGAAAACAACTAAGCTTGGTCACAGAGACGTGGGATGTGACATCTTTACAAATTCGCCGATAATATGGTCTTTTTTAAATACTGACATGGTTGATAAGGGAAAAGTCGTTTAAATGATTCGAAGTCTTTAAAACAAACCTTGATTCAAACATTCATCGCCACATAAATTTATCACGCACCATTCTACATTCTGTCTACCTCCCAAAACTTTCGTAACTTCCTCGTAGACCTTCTGTTGTTCTTCTGGATATTTTGCCAAAGAGTAGACCGCCCAGCCAATGGATGACGCGGTAGTGTCGTGACCTGTCAAAAATTGAGGCTAAACAAATGTATTTATTCCTTTAATAAAGTCTAAACTGCTGTCATTATCAATTGTTTGTATCAGAAGATAAGCAAAGCCGTCAAGACATTTACTTTGAATTGCCTGAAATTCTGGTATATATATAATCCCATCTAAAATTTGGGATGGAAATTGAAAATTATACATTTTTGTCGGGTTCAGATTGTCTTTCTTTTCACAATATCACTATACTTTGCACATTTGGTTTAGGTCATGAATAAATCTCAAGAAAACTGCTAATACTGAATTTGAGTTTGAACAGATACTTTACAGAGGTTATATTTTGCGGAGCCTGTATGTTTCGTAAATATTAGGTGTGTGCTCCGTCACGGGTATTTAGTCTATCGTTTCTCTGTTGAGTTATATGGATGTTTAGGGGCGTCACCGATATCTACTCAGGCTGTAAAAAATGTACGCTGGATATTTAGTTTCGCGTTATCCTTTCTAACCGCGGATATAGCGAAATCACTTTCCCCGCCAATATTACCAACTATACAGAAACTGATTTGTAGATAATCTCTCGTGGATTAAGAGTATCTACGAAATCAACGAAAGCACAATTATTATTATCCGGGTACCAAATCCAACAAAATAATAAGTGTCTAAATGGATGCTGACACCAAAATATTTGTAGAAATTCATCAATTTAACCCATACAGATAGGTATGTCAACTTAAAGATAAGCAAACTGCATAGATATAATATGTATTTTGATGCCAGTTTTGAATATTCAGATGTTGTCGCTACCAATTGTATAACATACCAGCTCAGGTCTATATAAATGGGACATACCTTCGAAGAGAAATGTGTCAACCTCGTCTCTTACTTCACGGTCAGTCAGCCCTGTACCCTGCTCATCACGGGCCGTCAGCAGGATATCTAGGAAATCCAAGTGTCGTTTTTTGAGAACAGATGGGTCGGCAGCCTATAATAGAATCACCACGTGTACCATAATCGTCGTGCATGTATGTTTTGTTTGTTAATTTTGATCAGACTCTAAATTCTTGATTTGTAGAGGATTTTGAATATCTATTGATAGTCTCCATCAACCATATTACATGTAAACGAAACATTGTTTAAAAAATCGATGACTTTTTAATCCTATTATTTTATCAAATGTTTGAATTATTGGATTGACATCCTTCCTTTCTAATAAGGTTTAAGCTGAACCAAATCTTGTGATGTTTAATTACATTGTCAAATGTAATATCGGACACGTGGAAATGTAAGCGTTTCACGAGAGTTGGAGTTGAAAAATGATTTGAACTCAAAATGGATTATTTGAATCACAAGATATATATCAGAGATACACTAATTCAATTCTTTCTCCCCTTCTTGTCCTAACAGTCCCTTTAGATATGTATTCATGGTACCATTTTTACTAAGACGTATTCTAATTACAGAGTATTTGATAAGATTAAGTGTTCATGTTTATGTACTAGAAAGTATGGACCTACCAAAGACGCCCTTCTTTCGCGTATGACCTTTTCGTCGAAATCATGTACATATTTGGTATGTCTTGAAAATTCTCGCCCGAGAGGTGACAAATAGAATACAAAATCCCACGTTAACCATGGACGTCTGCAAAAGGAATGTTAATAACATATGTAAATCCGCGCATACCTTGGCTTTCCAAATAATGTCACAAAACACAAACCCGTCTTATAAAGGGTGAAGGAAAATCAACAAAATATTGAAACATTCTCCATGATGACTGTTTATGACTCTAAGACATGATAGTTATCTTACACTTGCGTTTAGTACGTTATTGGAAATGCACGATTTCTTGACAGCTTAAATGTTAAACACTGTATAAAAATCTGTTTATTAAGCCTTTTATCACGAAGGAATATTGTAGCGTCATAATAATATTATGTAATACGCCTTATACTGCAAACAAGTACTGTAATATATTTTCCTAGTCAGTCGGCATGAAAATATCTACATTTCAATTCATTTGCTTAAAAAAGTTATAAAAATAACAAAACTAATTAGAATTCATTGCACGTGTTTGATGACGATTTTCTATTCTGTATTGCATACCGTATAGTTCGTATCACTCGTTGGAGATTTAAACTCAAACGTTTTACCATGAACATTTAAGTAGCTTCCGAATCTTCTACTGACACTTGCATGTTTTGTATAATTTGCTTTATCAAATATAAAATAATATTTCATTTAACAAGCAAGAATTGAGTTTTGGGAATTTAAAACGAATTAAGAGAGATAAATCTCTCTGGCCTATTCAACAATATACTACAATGCCTGAATGGCAAACTGATGAAAGTAACACCCTTCCCATCATACTGTACCTGTCTTAAGTGATCTAGTGAGCAACGCTATATATACTGAGAGGAAAAAGAAACGCAATTAGCAGAAAGTTAATATTGTAAATTAAGTCCTTGACGTACAGCCTTGAAACTTGATAAATATGTGCATTTGATTTAGGTCCCCATGGTACCGTATTAAAATCACTGATGCATAACTAAACTGCGCACGCCGCTTATACAACAGAATAAGAGACAAAAACACTATATCTCTAACCCAGTATAAAGGATTGGTTCAAAATCTGTGTGTACGAATCTTCAGGCATATCCGTCTTGATTTCCCACATGCTATGCATAAACAGTTCACCGTAAAAAATGTCACGACTGTCCGAGTTGACAGTGGTCGTGCTATTGCACTTCTTTTGCAAGGTACCCCGCAAAGTCTGGTCGCTAATCAATTTGGAGTCCATCCATCGAACATTTGCGGTCTCACCCAAAGACTACATGCCACCGGAACGGTTGCAGGCCGTCCCCGAAGCAGTCGCCCTCGTGTGACGACGCGTCGGCAGGATAGGGCAATGCGACTTCCGTACCTACGCAGTCGCTTTCTGACGGCCACGGAAACTGCAAGGAACACAATTGGGCGTCATCATGTTCGAATTGATCCAAACACCGTGCGTACTCAACTGCGTGCCTTCGGTCTTAGACCGCGGCGACCAATGTTGTACCACAGCTTAATGCGATCAACGTCGCTCAGTTGGCGTTGGCGCTGGATAAGGAATGGAATCGTATACCAATGAGGAGGGTTAATACCCAGATCAATTCAATGCACAAAATAGTTCGTGCAGTTACTGCAGCTCGCGGAGGGTTGGGGGCACACGCGATGTAGATGGGTCCTTCTTGCTGACTTGTAGCCTAAGAGAACGACAGTCAGCTCCGACCCAAATGTTGTCAGTAATCAGCAGGAGGAGGACGATATTGCCAAAGGTAAGTTTTATTTTGAGTGGGGTACTCTTGAATCAACGTCAAATTTGAAAGGTTGATTTCACGTACACGAATGAAATTCTCGTAGATGACAGAGTGGTCAACTATCTTCCAGTTACACCATCATTTCATTCTAAACCCTTTTCTATTTCCCATAGTTGACCTGGAAATTCCTAATTGCGTTTCGTTTTCCTCTCAGTATAATATACACCTTCAATAAATACTGAACCTTAGCAACTTGTATCTCGAGAACTGTTTTAGTCTGTCAATCCTCGTTTAGAAATTCATAGATAATTTCTTTATAAAACTTACAGCAGTCGTTCTTGTGATATGTGGGTAAGTTTCTTCATAGCGTCAACATAAGGATGATTTGATCTGCAACAAATTATTAATTTATATAACATGGTATGTTCGAATATCGTATATATAACACTCGCCGTATTAAACTAGACATATAAACATTTGATAACATATCAGCATAAATCCACAATTATAAGCCCTATTTTAGCCTTATTATTATGATATCTTCAAATGTTTTGGCTTACGGCATAACGGAGTTCGAACTGTCAAAAAAGCTTACCGTCAAAATATGTTGAAATAGATTCAAAGCAAGCTGTATAACTTCTGGAAAAGGGATTATTCTTTAGATCGAACCCAATCCAAACTCTTCCCAAACATAAGCTCATTTTACAAGACATTTATTTATCCTGATATGCAAATTTGGGGTCGTATATTTGCATACACTAATAAGGTAATTGTACGTTATAGTTGGTAAACTAAAGGTATTTGGATGAAAATGTCACTGTGACAATTACTGAGGAATATTATGTGCCTACCCCTGTTCCTGTACTCTTTCATCGTATGACACCGAACAGCGCAACATGGTATCGAGGGTAGCCAATCCTATTGGATCGTATACTTCAACGCTATTTCCTCCTGATGTCGCCTTTTCTAACTTGTCCTTTTGATATAAAAACGTGTAGTAGCTTTTAAGTGATGTATAGTATGTTTGTTGCTTTCAGTATATTTAGTATATACATGCGGTATAGCTGGTAATTCTCAAGGGTCAAAACTTTCGCGATTTCCTTTCAAAAGCGATCAAATTATGTCTTAACGAATCAAGATCTCGATGTCTAGACGGGAAAGGATATCTTACACGTGTCTCATTATCTCAGAGGTTAAATGGTAGTAAGAAATACCGTTCTCAAATGTATGTAAGATGCCATTCCGGACTAAAAATATGAACAGAAGAATGTTTTACATAGAGACTATTGACAAACAACTACGAAAATAATAGGACGTGTTCCGGATAAGTGAGCGTTTTTTGCTTTATCGACGACTTGGTGAATCCAAGAAAGTAATATCACATTCTAAAATGAGAACACGTTAAGCAACATTGAAACCGACAAACTAACGAGCATTAAGCACTTCATATTTCTAAAAGAAATATAATATTTGTCATTGTGAGCATTGTGATGACCGTATAACTCTATATACCCTGTATTGTGAGAAGGTTTTGTCATTTGTCGAAAACTTGTAGGCAAAACTTCATAATCAAAGGACATATTTTGACCTCTTGCTCTTGCCGAATATGTTTCCTTGGTATATTTCTAAGATATATTGATAAATTTACCATCGTCGCACCCCAAAAAATGTGTACCTTTCCACATGCATCAACTTACCAAAAAGATATCAAAGACTTTGTTATAAATCGATACATAAGGTTTGAGGACGTCGAAATGGAATGCTGGTGTCAACAACCGTCTGTTCCTCTCCCACTTCTTACCATCACTGATTAGTAACCCGTCTCCTGGAGAAGCATGAAAGAACGATTATTTATAGAGCTTTTGAATTCCGATTCCCAATTTTGATGTTCTTTTTAGACTAAACACTGTTTAAGATAAACACTTGTATGTACGCATAAAAGAACCCTTATGAATAGGCCATATTGCGGAATTTAAAATAGACGCTAAAGACATATATTGCATAACTTATCAATACAACAAAGCAGCATATCAATCACGTCAATGATAATATCATTTGATTCCTTTACAATTATGTATAATACATAATCAACAACTAAAACATGCCGTCGAGATCAAGTCATTATGTTACAGCGAGGCATAACACATGCCACTCGATTAGACTGGTCTAACAGATAGATGGTCTAACGTACTATTAATATATTAAGGCCCTTGTGGGGTGCAAGATTTTTGTTATATCGTATCCGATTCTAAAAACTGCTATTTAATTTTAGGGCCATTTTGTACAATCTGCGACTCGCCAAATAAACGCACCTTCAGGCGCATTCCCCTAGATTTATCCTCTAAAGTATGCTATGATATGACTAACGCAAGGTTAGATGTACGATCCAATAAGTATTGGATTGGATAAAGAATAAATACCCTTAAATACAATTTTAGAATTAGAAACAGCAAGGCTAAACATGTAATGTTTCGTCAGGTTAAGTCAAACCTTTGGAACTCTCAAATCCACCAGCAGTGTCTGACACTTACTATTTTGAAGATTGTAAAAGAGAATACAAACTAAAATTAGAAACAGCAAAGTCAATTAACGAATCAAACTTAACAGCTGTTTTGTCTTTCAATTTAATTAGAGCCTGATTTGTTAACCTACGAGGCGACAGAGGAAACCCACAGTGATCGAAGGAAATGCCAATATCTAAATGATGAAGTACTGGTCACCTGATTTATTAAGTTTCATAACTTATATACATGATACTTACCGGAAAAAATCAAGTTTTAGTGCAAACGTAAGAGGGGTAACAAGACGCTTTTAGATTCAACTAATGCACAAGATGTTTCTGTTCACTTAACATACGTACCTAGCCAATCCATAAGAGGGTAGTAGGCCCCGCCTGGACCTTTCGATTTTGGCTCTGAAGACTTGAGCACTATTTTAGCCGTTTCCGGATGGCAGATCGCAAAAAGTGGAAAGAAAAACATTATCCAGAACGAAACTATGCGAGTTTTTGTTTCTTTCACTAGCTCAAAACAGATGTCTGTGAAATCATCAAAATTTGAAATCTGAAAAAAGAAACGATGTATATGCACTGATAACAAATTTTCCTAAATTTATTTCATGATAACATAATTTCAGGATGTTCACTTAAGTCTATTCCGGTTAAGACATGGTGTCGATATGATTGCAAATCATTGTTAAACTTTTAATGATTAATTGATTCTCACACAATATGGTTACATATGAACAGGACAACACATGAATGACTTGATATTACTAATAAGTAAAGAAAATTAACATACCAAATGAAGATGGCCCCATATCGGATGAAATTTTCCAATTGACTGGATTTCTTTGTGAGAATATAATCTTATAGCCTCTTTGTATCTGTTCACAATGCCAAAGATTTTCCATATACATACTGCGGCCAACAGCGTACCAATGACAATAAGGTAAACATCCATGTTTGACGTCACGAGACTGAAATTAAATGACATGTTTGAAGCTTTAGTAACGCAAAAGAACAGTTCTCACCGCCAAAATGTCATGAAGGGAAATACAACAGTTGAATACACAAAGCAGTATTTATCTACTTTATAGATGCTTTACAACATGTTAACAGCCAGGGTCATTTAAGGACGTGCCAGATCGGGGTGGAGGAAAGTTTCTGGAGAAAAAGCAAGGTAGTCCTCTAACCCTTGGCACAGAGTGGAAGGCTAGTGATAAAGACGGCCAGACGCCTTAACCACTCTCTCATCGTTGACCCCTCAACTAAAGAGTAAGCACGCGCGATGCTTTATAGACACTTTAAAATTGAAGCTGTTTACCATTAACTACACATCACATGCATGTAATGTACCTGTATATAACCATTACAAAATTACTTATGATATCATTTTAACATAAAATATGTTGCATGAGTTTAATTAAAATTGTCAGTAGTAATTATGTACTAGAACTGCATTTTCATATGCCAATAGCTAAGTATTGAAAATGTAAATATCAAATTTAGTCTCTATTTTTGTTATGTCGATTTCACGATCGATGTGCTCCTCAACCAACTCACTGAATGGTGCATATTCGTTTCGTCGACAGTAAAAATCCATTCAAATATGAAATTGAACAAAGACGTATTGAATACCTATGATTAAATACACCTGATAGATATAAGGTATAGGATGTGTAAATATGACATTGTGAAATTCTGTTATCAAGAGTTTGTTTGAGATACACACCATATAGACTTATTATGAAGGATTAGTCAATGGAGTTTAGTAAGGGTAAAAAGTTTTGACATTTAACTAAAACTTATGCACCCTATTATAATATTTTCCGTTGAGAAACAAAGTTGGTTACACTTGGTGTTTCCATTGGCTGGAAAAAAATTAATTAACAAATTATTATTATTATCATGACATTCTTAATGGCCCGTCAACACATGAAAGGTCACTATGGCCATCAACCGGTAAAATATACAACGATTCAGAAAGAAAATATCATTAAACAAACTAAAAATCTTAAATGGTTATATTATCAGAAGAGATTAAAACTGCAATTAACAAATAAGTCATTTGTAATAAAATTACCTCTAAGAATAATTACCAGCAGGCAAGTTTTACCTGACTTTGAATATCATATATAATCAATATATATTTAAATTATATATGCTGTAATCCCAGCAACGAAATTACTTAGATATTTAAATATTTTATAATTAAGTGCTGTACTTCTTAAACATCCACCTATATATTTATCTAAATATAACGGAAGTGACCAAGCTTTACGTACATGGTTGCTTCTATAAGACTGGACAACAAAGTGTAGCTGTTTTAGATTCAAGCATTCATTCCATTCATGCGATCAGTGCTCACAATATATGTTTAGATTATACAGATTTGCCAATACATACCGTTACATCAATTGATCACTATCTGTCCGTTGAACCTCTCAAATCGTATCACGTGTTGTGTTAGAAGAAGTCCAATATCCACAGGTTTTTGCGTCCTCGTGGCATAGTACAGCTGACATGTACTACCTGTTGGACTTGAGAAAGAGGTCACATAGGGAATACCATAGGTTATTTGATATCACTAGCCTTACGATTTAAATCGTAGTGACCGGCTGTCGGATCTCTTGTCAACTTGCACACAGAATACAAATATATTTTTCAGTTTTATTTTGAGTATATTGCGAGTATTTTACAAATGAGAGAAAGCCGTCATGATTTTCACGCCATTGACTGAATAGAACAAAGCTGCAAAATCCTGTGTCCTCACTGACGCCAAAACCTGTAGACTGACTAACAATGGCTTTTCACCAGTGTTAGTGGGTGGCCTACTCTTCCAAGATATTTCGGTGTAACAAGACAATTCGCCCTAGAGAATAACAGTACACTGCAGGGCATACTACAAGGAGGTCCCCTACCACAACAAGGTCTAGAGATTATCTGGACATGTCCTCGTACCGGTTTGTTTCTGTTATTTTTAGCTCCGTATACTAATCATCACGTGAAGGACTGATTGTTGACATATTTGTTGTGTTTTAAGCAAATGTGTGTGAACCACTTTGCTGTATTACACCATAGCCTCAAACAAATACTACTCCCAACAGACATTTATTTACAGCTAGTATTGTCGGTAAGGCACACAAATATATATATATAAGGGTGTTTCGCAGGATTCTGCGGTTGTTTTGAAGCATATGGCTGAACTTTTTAACAGATTAGATACACGTATTACATACATTGAAAATTAACCAAGTTCAGAAAGACATGACCTTGTTGACCTCTAAAGTTCACCAGTTAGAACATGAAATGAATTCGGTATCCAGAGTTGTCATGCAGACAAATGAAATGGAAAAGAGAGCACAGGCACTGAGTGATGTATGGCCTCATATTCCATGGGCTGCAAGGGAAACATACAGTGGAGGACACAGAGGTCATACTTCGTGATTTTCTATATTATGAGCTAAGAATTGAGTCGAGTTTACATTTCGGCAAATCACCTGGACCTGATGACATATTAAATGACTGTTTCAAAATTTGGGAAAAGTTGCTTCTTCCAGCCCTTTCCACCATATTTGAAAATATACATGAATCTGGTTACTTTCCGTCTAATTGACCATCGGCAAGGATTATTCCTGTGCATAAGACGATTGTCATGACCCTAATAATTGTAGATGTATAAGCTTGATTAGCTGTCTGTAAACTTTTCACATCGGTATTAAATAAACGCATTTTAGATGTTTGGTTTCGTCCTGAAGTTAGTACGATTGATGCTATTTTTGCACTACACTCGGTGATAAATAACTAGAACTTTGTCTTCAAAGAAGCGTTTAGACTGTAGTTTCGTAGACTTTCGTAAAGAGTTTGGTTTTGTCGATAGAATCAGCTTATGGGACAAGCCTACAAATCTGGATATTCGAGAGAAATTGATACCTGTCATTAAGTCACTATGTAACTCAGTTAAATCTTGTGTCTCAATTAAAGGTTATTTCGAGTATAGGATAAACGAAAGGGGAAATATCATCACCTGTATTGTTTTCACTTTTTCTTAATGATTTATAAATTTCATTTATTGGAAATGGAGCATCTGATTACGGTGTTGGTGAATCAAGTCTATTTCTTTTAATGTATGCTAATTATTTGATAATGATTTCCGAAATCATTGAAGGTTTGCAGAGTCTTCTAGATAGTCTTCATAGTTATTCCACTGTGTGGAAATTGACAGTTAAAAAAGAGAAAACAAAAAATTGTTGTATTTAGAAATGCAGGTCGTATACATGACAAAAAAGTGGAAGTTGACCGTTTTTCCCACTTGGGAGTGAAACGTAAGTACATTAATAAATTCAGTCAGATACAACAACAGTTATCTGACTAGGGACGTAAAGCTATGCACTTTCATCAAATTGTTCTAATCAAGTCTAAATTGCAAAACCTTATTACATTTATTTGATACATATGTTTGTAATATATTGCATTATGCGTGTGAAGTTTGGGGTTCTTCAATGGGTATTGATATGGAAATGGTTCTTTTTTGTTTTGTAAGAAGATTTTAAAAGTTAAAAAGTTGACATGTAATGCAATTGTTTATTTTGAATAAGGTCGATAGCTAGGAGAATGCATAAAAAAGTATAGAATGATAGAATACTGGTGAAAACTTTGTACTCGAAAAACTGTATTTTTAACACTGCGTATTCCTTTTTAAGTACTAGTAAAAAAGGTAATTGTTTGAACTGGGTAAATCATGTTAAATATTGTCTTTTTTTCTCTCGGCTTCGGAGATGAGTTGACAAATCACTATATTTATAATTATAAAAATATTTAGTATTTGAAAAACGCAACGAGTTTGTGACCAAAGTCAGCAACATCTGAGAGGATTACTGGAGTCTTCATCTAAATGCACTTGATATGAGCACATTGCAAATGTACTCCACAATATTATTTGAAGACGTTTATTCCTTTAAAGTATCGACTTTGTTTATCTAAATTTCGCCATTCCGAGCATAAGTTTGCCATTGAAACTGGCAGATATAATAATATACCGAATGAGCAGACTTTGTCCGAGTTGTAACTTAGATGATTAATATCATTTTATTTTTGTAGGAATTACCAAAATTTAAGAATATAGGAAACCCATGTTATTGGCGTTTTCCTTCCATTTATAAGTTTATATCATTGCTTAGTCTCGATAATATACACGATTTCCGTACACTAGCTATCATAGCTCATATCAACATTAACTAGTAAGTGTGTTAATTATAAGAGTATAACGAATATATATTGTAGTCATTTCTTGTTACGTTAATAACACTGTATTTGTTGTCGACGTATCCATTAGTTGGCTATCATGATATATGCACGACTTTTCTTGAATGCATATGTAATATCATTTGTAAAATTGTATGTTTTCAACAAATTGATGATGATGAAATAAGCACGACCGTTGAATGTATGCTGTTATATGCCATTCGTAAACATCTTATGTATGTAGTAAGTTGTAAATACTTGCGGAATAAAACTGAGTTAAATTGAACTTTGTACACCTGGCGACGCCTCGGGGTACTCTATTGTTGCATTGTGTCCAGTGCACAGGTAGGATTGAATCGGTAGGGTCAGTGAATGATCATTTAATTTGTTGTGACCAGTCATTGTAGACCTTATATTGATAAATGTCACACTTTTACCTGTGTGTATTATACTCTTGCGAGAACGAAGCTCACTGTTACACTTCTTACACATTGTCAACTTACCAGGTATATACCTATGTACTGTAAGAATAAGCTTTGCATGCAGTTGTTGTCTATGACGTAGATGATAGATATCCTACATGTCCTTACTCGCATTGTATCTGTTTAAGAGTTTAAAAGTACCTCAGTCTTTTGTTCACACATGTATTTTATCATAGTTTCATCGCATTTAATTTCGAACTAAGTTGATATGACGTTATTTTCTTTGTTGTTTTAGTGTATGGTAACAATACTGGTAACACTTTACAACAAATAGGTCTTTATATTTGAGTTAATATGATAAAAGTCCATTTTTCCTAACTACTGCATCCGCTCTCTACATTTGTTTCACGTATGGACTAGTGACGAAAACAAACCATTTTTAAATCAAAGTCTTTCAGTTTTATCTCCCATATATATATAAACGGCCTTGAACTCAGCAAAGTCAAATAGACGGTGAGCATGTATTTGTTTACCAAGTCATCTGAGGACTGACGTTTATTGATCAACTCTTAAGGCGTAGTGGTAGGGTATCACACTGAACAGTGTCGGCTAGCAGGACTATATCAGGTGTCTTCTATGTGAAGGTAAGACCATTATTAATACGAATATGACTTTCAAAATCGATGTGTAACAAAAAATTGATAATTATTTATTATCATAAAATTTACATTTATTTTGTCTCTTGTTTTCCATATAACACTACTGAAAACAGAGCATGTTTTAACATATGAATTTTACAGTATGAATAAATTTAATTATTTCGATTGCTTTTTGATACGTAAAAAATAGTCAGTAACATAATTATACCATCCCATATTAAATGTCCCTGTAATAAACAACACATGTAGTAAACTAAGAATTTATACATGAATGTTCATTCACCTTAGCAATAAGTTGCAAACACTCGGCAAGCGTCGTGTTTACCATCTTCATGAGTATTAAGTTAGCGATCCCTCATTTCACATTTAATGGGGTGAATTGGTATTCTTCCACATAGCTTGCTGATATATCTGAGTAAATATTTGAATGATATTATTGGCTGTCACTCGTTTAATAAAGTTATTGAATACACACAAAAGAAGAGAGAGAGAGAGGGGTGAAGCAAGAATCAGTAATGAGAACAGCCGTCGATTGTCACGAGATTCACAATACGTTTGCGCTAAAAGTGGCCTTTGACAACGAAATATTTAAATATAACACAAGATTAACCATTTACACATTGTATGATGTCTACAGGAGTAGTTAACTGACATGGCCAAATCTAGTATTCAGGCCATGTGAAACTTTTCTGTGTATAATCTAATAAGGCAAATTGTACTTAAATTTTATTTTCAATTAAAGGTACACAGAAATAATGAATGAAATTGAAATAAATATACATTTGGATAAAAAAAATTACAGTCTGGGTAAAATGTCAGATTTGAGAGTAGTTTCCTGATTGTGCCATCACAAGACCATCTGTTCCTAGAACAACTTTACTGATCACAGAACTTGATAACTTTTTCAGTACTTTGGCCAAAAATATGTAAATATTATAAGTGAGCAGCAGCTGTAAGTTCACCAAACAGTTTTCCCAATTAAACTGCCACAAAGGTTTTATATTTGTAATATGTAGCTTTATATTTGAGTTTAAAGCATGCAACAGACTTTAATAAAGATGATTTGACCGCATCTAATGTTTTATTATAGGATTTGAACAAGTGTTGTAGTAAGATGTGCACCCTGACCCACACCCATGACTGAGTTAATAACATAGGTCATAGTAGAGGCCATTGATGAATTTTGGATTTTTTAAACATAGACACAGGAGTTTACTGGGTTACTACAGATAACACACAATAAAGATTAAATTGGGAAGTGGGCAAACGTACAGGTAACGTGAAAAAGGTACTTTCTAGGTGAATATTGATGAAACCTTTTTGAATTGAACGCTTCATTTGAAGCATATCGCATCATATTATATCATAGCCTGCATAAAATGTTGTTTTCTATCGAAAACGAATGTCAAATATGAACAAATGCTATCATCAACGCAAGAACGGGACGATCTTGCAAACATGAACAAACATTTACATAGAAAGGAAGTTAGATACTAGATGTTTATCATCCGAAAATACCGAATATGTCTTATTTTTCAGCACTATAGACGATGATGGATTTCTACCTTCTTGTCATTGGTACGTTCTTGACAGTCATATGTTTAAAGACAATTTTCGAAGTTGTACAGAAATATAAAGTGAACATTCACTTATATTACCAAGAGAAAATCCAACCAATCGGGAAGTTTCACCCAGTATGGGGACATCTTCATCTGGTAAGTAGATACAATATCACAGAAATTACAAAACGTTTTTGTTAAGAAATATATATATCTATATTTTAAAACAACGTCGAAATGATTTAATCGGAAATAAATCATAAGGTCATTATGTGGAAGGGGGGCTGCGGTACTTTTGGATTCTTCTACATCAGACGCTTATTCCGATTTTTTTCCTACAATAATTCTAATAGGGAAATTTAAATCACGATGATCATGCTGGGTGGGAAGCTGTCCATATTGGATTCGTAGATGGGAAAGATCAAGATAAGCGGCTGGCGTAGAAAAGTCTGTCGTGTCTTTGATTTCAAATTCTGATCGGTATATACTATGGACGTGTAAATACATTTCTTTTCTCAAGACGAAATCAATATATATATAAATGAAACTAAACGACATTGTCATGGATGTGTGACCTTTGTGATAAATGCAGCCTCGTATGAAAACAAAATCAAGTCAGCGAACATAAGGACAGTTATCATAGGTATGCAAATAGTCTATTGGAAGATCTTACTAACAAACTGAACGAAGATGTTGTCAACCAGAAATTCGATCATTTTTATGATTTCGTCCTACGTATATTCCTTCTTTCATTTAAACGCATTTTCACGAAATACACTTCAGTATAGTTCACAACCATATATTTGTATCTCCTTTCACCTTTCCTGCAAACAAATGATATCATTATTAGAGAACGAAGACGTCCTGCCGGTTTAAAATAGGGTATACAGAGTGAAAGAAATCGAGTGTTCTTGTAGAAGTATTTTTAGAAGAAATTGTTGGGAATTGGTCAAACGGTCTTTGGAGTTCTTTAAAATCGACATACTATTAATTTCACTTCTTGAATAAACAGTATCAGAATAAGAATGTAACCCTGATATTAAAATGCTGAGAACGGACATTAGACATTTTGGCAAAGGTTTAGTTGAATAGGCACAATTTAGAATTAAAATGTAAAGCAAAATAATAATAAACATCAACGGGTAGCACCGAAATACGTCTTTGAATTTGCTCTTATCCCATTGGTATTCACATGTTAATGAATGCCAACTGTAAGCGGTTCACTGATTACTGTTTGTGAAGCAGTTTGTACTTATCATTTTCAAACATATGAAAAAGTCATTGCTTTAAAAGCATAGCATTTGATAGTCTTGGTTTCGAAATCATTTCTACATTGACGGGTGTTCGCGAGTTTTGACCATCAAAACATACACAAAACATAATGGTAGTGAGGTAAAATAGACAAGTCTCTGATCAAACTGCAATATTCTAGTCATTAAAAAGATCGGTAACGTACAATAAAACTAGGGTTAAATATGAACACAAGGGAGATTTTCACGGAGGTCACTAAACAAGTAAAAAGAGAATTACTCATCCAGAAGAGACAATGCCGCCTGTTAAATCGTCGATAACCATTATACAAGTCTTGAACAATCCACGTAATTAATATCACGTTCCGAATTTGAGAGATGATAAACAACAGAGCCAACAGGTGTACTTACGGCCATTAAACGTGTTCAACTTCAGTTAGAATAAGGAAATGGAATATTTCTTAATGATATCTCTATCACAAATGTAAAACTTTAACGTTATATGTATCAGTCTGTGTCTCACAAGCTCGGATAAAATATGACATGTTAATACTATAAGCTGGTATGGAGGGAAGTTGCACCCCAGAAATGGCTTAACGCATAATAGGGAAATCAAAGTAATAATCTACTCCTTTTCCAGGCAAAAGTTTCCACAATAAGTATATTGCAGTGATCGCAGCATTTTTTTTTTTTTTTTTTTCATTCTTTCTAACTACTATGTCGTTTTTCTTCTTTCTGAGATATGAATAAGTTGACGATGTATAGGCAAAGTGTTAGCCTAAGTGTAGTTAAGATTGGTCAGGTTACGGCATAAGCATTTATTCATCGTCATTGTATCCAGTTGGCCCGATGACAAATATCATTGCTAAATATAAGAACTAGCAGAGTGTTTAGAGATTGCCACTTGAACGTAACTTTTTTTTAAAAATTGTCCTAAATTACAATAAGAATGATATATAACAATTTTTTATCTGCCTTTTGTTTAGTTTTCAGATTTTGACCACGTCATCAACCTCTGTGCTGATGTCGTTGCCCAGACAAAGAGTAAAATTGTATCCTACTGGATAATGGGTTTCTATCCTGTTCTATCTGTGTGTCATTCTGAGACTGCCAAAGTAGTTCTGAAATCTTCAGAACCAAAACCAAAACACTTGGGTGGTGGATACAGCATGTTTATAGACTGGCTAGGTATGTAACACGTGAATATATTATTTCATGTGTGTTCTATGTGGACAACATACCAATGCGTACGTAAATATAATTTTAATTATCAGCCTTTTTGAGTTTTCTATTTGTTCTTTTGTAAGCTTTTTTACGGAACGGAAAACCCTAAAACAGATAAATTGGAAACGAAATTCGTCTTTTTGTGTGTACCTTTTGGTAAATAAAAGAAAGAAAATCTGTACCGTAATTAATGGCAAGTGGAATCTGAAAGTATAACTAAACGACCTTGCAATGTCTTTATGACCTGGTTCGATAACCTCTTCGGTAAATTCAGCCTCACATGAAAAAAGAGAAGTCAGCCACAAGAGGGGCAAAATCAGTTCCCATTGGCATGCCAATAGTTTGTTAAAAGATCAACCGAAGACATGTTCTACTAAATCGAAAGTGATAATGATATATACGGTAACACAGTATACATTGCAGAATGCAAATTTTCCACATCTGTAAATAATGTTTTTTTACAAATATCTGTGCAAATGTTCGAATTAAGAAGCAACGATATAACAGATATATTTCAATGATGGATGTTTTGATATTTCAGGTGATGGACTTCTGCTTAGTGAGGGTAAGAAGTGGGAGAGAAATCGACGGCTTTTGACACCGGCTTTTCACTTCGATGTTCTTAAGCCTTATGCTGGCATTTATAACAAAGTTTTTGACATTTTTCTGGTAAGTAAACACTTATTATATTCTAACTGATTACATTGAGAGAGAATATTCTTCAATCTGTTTGTCCATCCGTCTATCTACTAATCTGTACAGCAGTCATTTCACTGGATTTTGTCTGGCGAACTCTTTCTTAACAATAGACAAATGTTCATGAACCATAAACGTGAAAAATATATCTAGCCCTGCACGCTTCATGAATGAAACTACAAAATATCACTGTCTTTTAACATCAATTACAATTCAAATTCAACTTCAACAAAAATAAAGCAAAATGTGTGCAAAAAAGAAATGAACACGGTGATTCCTAACAAGTACAAGGAGAAGAAGGCCAGTCTAGTATTCCGGAAAGTAAACGTCTTCTACTTCGTCGATGACTTCCGTCATGTAAATCTTAATGTTAGTCCAAGTACGTAATGTCTCGCTGCCAAGATTGTACAAGAGACACACAAGTAAATAGTACTTTTAACTATTTAGATTTAAATACAGTAAAGCCAAACAACAATCAACTGCCTCATACAGCTGTTTCGTCATTCATGGAATCTTTATTGATGCTAACGGCCTAAATTTTGAAGCTTTGATGACGACTGAAGAAAATCCACGAGAAAGGAATGTCAAAACCTAGACGACGGGGATGTGCAGAAGTCACTAAATAAGAAAACAACAACGGAACAAACAACTATAATATCTAGCTTCAAACAAATCACAAAGCTAGCATTAAAGATAGAATATTTTCTTTTCAGATAATTAAGACGGCTGTAAATCGTCCAAATCGATTTAATCAACCTGTATCCTCTCAAAATCTAGAAACACTTTATTGTCAGTTTGTCAGTCGTTGACATCTTGCTAGAAAATCGTTATAAATCGAACAGGCTCTTGGATATCGACTCAACTGTGACATATAGAAACCAATAGGTTAATAATGATGATTGGCAATAAATCCGATTTACTTCTATATTTGTTTTGATACACGATTCTATCTGGAGTTTGATAAGATGTACGTATCCGTACTATGCAATCCAGAATTGAAACATGACATAATACCACTTGTTGCCATTACAATGTAGGACAAGATGGAGAAAGCGACATCTGGCGGAGACAGTGTGGAGATTTACGATTCCGTTGGACTTGCTACTCTTGATACAATGTTACGTTGTTCGGTTTCATATGAAGGGGACATTCAACAACAAGGGTGTGTAATCCATTATTTCTTATTGTTTTATTTAATTTCCAAGTGTAAATTAATAAAACGATATTGATATTTCACAGTTGGTTAGTCGTGCACTACACGATGTGTGAACGATGTATACATGATTATGCATGATAGGAAAACGATAACGATACGAAAATAGCTATCGCCCATTTGTGCGCATGTTGCAGGGGTTCTATCGCACAGTTGTGCGATCTTATCGTTGTTAATGTAAATTTAGAAATGACTTACAGATAAATCTGGGATAGACTTTATTTTCGGATACTTCTTAAGTGTGTTTGTAACACCTTTTAATACAAATTAAGAGATAGATACAGAAGAGAGAAGTGAACTGCATCATAGAGCTGTGTCATTAGGAAGCATTAGTGATGCAAAGGGTCTACACTTTGAAACCACGCGGGCGACTGAGGAAAGTTCAAAATGATCGAAAAAGTGAAAATCTAGATAGGGAGGTAAACTGGCTAAAGCAAAATCTTAGAATTCATCCAATTCTTTTATTTACAATGCAGATCAATTCATCCCTTCGTAGACGCAACACGAAGACTTGGCCATCTAGCCCAGCTACGTTTGCTGCAAGTATATTACAAACTATCATAAAACTCACGGCATTAGCGTATAAAAGCAAAGAAATAAATCTGTCAACGTTGTTTACTGTGAATTGAAGGTAGGAGTATATATGTCTATCTCTTCGATTGAGTTTTGTTTTTAGGATTTTTTGCTGTTGAAATATCTATGTAGAGTTTTGAATACAGACATGTAACATTAAGATTTTAAAAGGAAATGAAATACATTTCTTTGGAACATGTATGGTTCATATACACTGGTAAAATGTTTTTCAAACAATTTATTCTTTAGCATACCTTCAGATATTCGACCTTTTAAATACTCAAACCCTCAGGTCACGGGAAGACAAAAGTTGATATGTGAAGAAAACAAACAAACCAGAATTATCACCGATTACTTTCGGTTCATTTCCAAGCTAATTATGAAACCTTTACTCCTTCCCTATTTATAATGAAACCCAGTCATCTCAACTTTGATACCAATAGTTTAACAATGTTACACTTCTCGTGGTGTTCATGTGTTTTAATTTTTACGTAATCTTACTTAATAACATACACTGATAGCTTAACCGTACATCTACTTCTTGTGTACATTTATCCAATTAAGGTTAGTTTAAAAATATCATTACTAAATAATTTGATCAACAACATAAAATTTATCATTGGTGTATGTTAACATTAATCTGTTAATTTGAAGCTCCGTTCCCTATTCAAGGGGAGATACGAACATTTAAGATTCAATACACACAGCAGTTTGTGGTTCGTTAATTGATTCTCACCACATATATGTTCTTTATTGCTTCAGCTTTTGTGTGTATTCGTGAATCATTCGACTACCCATGTTAGGGAAGCAAAATTTCAAATATCATTTGAGATTTATTTGAACAATCTTGTTTCAACTAATGTTAACATATTTGTACATATCTGACCATTGTTGTATTTTGGAAACACATCCCAATCTATCACAAATTTATCTTAGGTCTCCATGGCTGTGGCATAAGTTTCCGTTCTATCTATCTCCTACGGGAAGGGAGTTTTCTAAGCATGTGAAATATATACATGACTTCGATGAAAAAGTTATCAACGCAAGAAGAAAATCGTTGGTAAGTTGAAACAATCACAACAAAAGTTCAGCATTGAAGTTAACATGCAGTAATTTATGAACATATCATCCAACAAAATAGATAGAGGTGTATACTGGAAACTTTCATCACACTTACAATTTCGCCCTTTTCTGTCCGCACAGTGAAAAAGTTTCATGTAAATCCCCATGTATGTTATTTTTAATGGGAAGGCGAAAATAAACCTGGAAGAAACCTCCCTTAACAGGATGGTGGTCTCTCATAATTTGCTGAGGGCACAAATAACATAAAAATCGAAACGTCTACATGCTGTTACGACATTACACAGTCTGAATCTGAAGATGATGTATTCAGAGTTAATCACGTTTGGCCACTTAACCGTGTTTTCCTATCCTGGCTGAGTTAGCAACGTTATTATTAGTTAAAATTACTACTCTATCAACAGAAAATCGTTATTTGGAAAAACACACCTTATTTATTAATGCATGAATATATTTTCTGTCGGAAATTTCTTTTCTTATTTTCTTCACTTGAAACGTTAATTTTTGGGAGCATTTCTCATTGTGTTAGGAATCGGACCCGTCTATCCTTAAAAAGCGCCACCTGGATTTCTTAGATATCCTCTTGACAGCCAGAGATGAACAAGGTGTGGGACTAACGGACCGTGAAATCAGAGACGAAGTTGATACCTTTCTCTTTGAGGGTAAGTAAGTCTTAGAAGGGTGGCCTTAGCTGATCCGAGAAAAAAGGATTGATTCAGAGCACTCTTATATATCTATGTGCTAGTTTGTTTTCTAATTATGCAAAAACAATAGAATAACTCTCAGAGAAATAAAGAATAAGAAAACTACATTTACTGCATGATGAAAATGGTCATCCAACTGCAAAACGATTATCAGTTGAGTTATTAAACCAGACAAATATCTTATATCTACAGTTGGGTATAGACTACACTTTTCACCTGATCAACTTGTAGTGCACAAGATAAAGACTAGGTTAGACAAGGTTTGTCTTCATGTCACATGGATCCAGGTTAACATTTGTGGTGATTAACCAATAACCCTTTAATAAAGGAAAGAAAGTGTTGAAAGACATCCGAAAAATAATTGATTTGGGTAAGGTGACAATCCAGGCCGATATGATTTTAATGGGAGGTCTTCTGTCAAGAAACCACAAAAAGCTAACACACCTACCATGTAAAGCGATAGTACAAGTGAGGCTGTCAATATACCTAATAAATCTGATTATGTTATGTAATGAACAGAATCTTGAACTTCGATCTGTGCTAGATGTGATTCTGCCTAAGTTTGAAATATTATTCATGATATAAACACATTTCCTTTTCTCCAGTCACGATCCTGATGTTCAAGGTTTTTTTACCTTACAATACAAATTACTTTTTCCACTGCTGCAGGATTCTTTCAGTTTAGATCTGTTTTAATTCATGATAACATAGCAAAAAATGTGTAACTAGATGAAATGTTGTCGCAAGTAATTCTATGCACGATATAATAATTTTATACTTAACACCGATTTCATTTTAAACATATGCATTAGTAAAATGTTGCAAGGTTTGGAATCATCTCACAAATAGATTCACTCACGTGTTATTATAGATTAAATGTTAAACGTGATATCTAATATAATTACATATATGTAAAATATGCATGGGCGGCGATAAGAGTGGTCAAGGCATCTGACTGTCTTTATCGCTAGCCTTCTACCTCTGCGTTCCGGATTCGAGACCTACGTTGGGGCAGTCGAAGGGTATTGGTTTTTCTCCCAGGACCTCCGGCTTTCCTCCACCACACTAACCCGGCACAACCTAAATTGACTCGTGTTTTTAATAGAACGTAAAGCAATAATAAACTAATTAATTTCCATGATTTTATTATGAAATATTATATACAAGAAATATCGTTATCAAACATACTATGGTTTGTTTAATATACAGGTGTTTTGTTAACTGATGTTTATTTATAATTCACATTATCGAAGCACTAACATTTTGCATATGACTTGTTTATGGTTGGTTCAGTTATAAAATATATGAATTACCTACCGTGTACACACACGATTTTGAGGAAGGGATAAATGATATAAAGGTACGACAATGATAAGTTAATTGCTCCGTGGATTGGTCAAGGTCATCGGATGGTCATTTTTTACATGTTTCTTGTGCTCTACTAGTACAAGTATAAAAGTAAGTCTTCACTCAATTGTACTTGACAAAAATGAACGTTTCAAATCAAATTCGTACATGGCGCTGAAAAACCATTATGTTTAAGGGTCGATAACTTTATGCCAGGTATAGAAATAACAAATGAAAGTATATGAATATTTTATTATGACGATATATGAAATACATAGTTTCTTCTTGAAAACTCCAAACTTATTCAATGACAGGTCACGACACAACTGCATCAGCAATCAGTTGGGGAATTTATTCTCTCGCAAAACATCAGGAGGAACAACAGAAGGTGTATGAGGAAGTGAAGAGTATTTTAGGAGAAAGAAAAAACGTGGAATGGTAGGATGAATATATTGTATTAAAACGTTGCGATTATATATTAATAGTCTGTATTTGATTATAGTTATCGAGAGGTTATTTGCAAAAACATTAGTTCAACAAAATAAATTTATCAAAAACCAGTGCAATTGGATAATAAATGAAACTACTCGGAATTTATGGTGATTTGTACATGTATGACAGTTTACAAAGTAAGTTCGTTCAGATACGTCTTTGTCCATAAGAAACCAATACAAGAAGATAGAAGCATATCGAAAAAACGTAATCGTTCACGGTAAAGTATATCGCTTCATCATAGTTATGAATGCGATTGACAGAGATGACGTTTGAATTGATAACACAATTCTACATTTAATTTATGTGATATCATAAAACATGCAATCAGTGGTTTGTCTTTGTGCCTGCAGGTCTGATATTCAGGAATTCACCAGACTCTCCCTGTTTATAAAAGAGGCAATTAGGATGTACTCGCCAGTTCCTGCCATTGCAAGAGTGACCACGTGTGATATGGAAATAGATGGTGTAAAGCTTCCTGTCAATACTGAGGTCAATATTATGATACATGTCCTACATCATAACGAAGACGCATGGATTAAGCCAGGAGTAAGCATAAGTACAATAACATGAAATACTTGTTAATACATTCTTTCGCTGTTCAAATCCGAGATAAATTCAGTTGTTGAAGAAGATATTCCTTTCACGGCAGTCTTATTCGCGATTTGTCTGTGGTAAAATTCGAAAAAGGTTATTCAAACTAAAATCTTTTACGGTTAAAAGAATGTTTTACCTCAGTTAGCAAGTTTCTGGTTGCTTTGTGCAATATTCAGAAATACCTCTTGCCAATATAAATTTGATAAAGTACATTGTTAATCAGGAACCCAAGAGATGTCTGAATCATAGATTTTTTGAGAAGTATCTTTGAAGTGCACAACACTGTATACTGATCATTTATAAATTCTGTTGGTATAAAACTTTCATCGCTTTGTTTTGCTTATTTTGTTTCAATTTTTAAATATTCACAAATATTTTACACTGTTCAACCGATGCATACAACTAGTTCTGGCTATATCTATATAGAATTTCCTTTTGATCTCTTGTAATGAATATCCCTTTAAGAATAATTTAATTATCAAAAGATATATCGTGTATTTCGTTATATTTATAGAAGGAGAGGCATACATAGAATCAAAGTTCTTCGGTCGCCTCTTATGGTTCAAAGTTTAGGCCCTCAGGTACACTGATGAGTCCTAAAATGACGAAACAACTGTTTAAAGCAGTTAATTCATTACCTAACAATACTCATTCATAACTTTCATTGAAAAATGTTATTTAGGTCTAATATTTTATTTATTTTTATCAATATTCGACATTGTAAGTGGTCGACACTGCTTTTGGAGTTTTGTTGTTCGTTTGTTGTTTTGCCGTAACCTGAATGCCACATGTAACTGACATTCTTTTTAAATAATCAGATCACTTTGGGTACTGCAATTTTGCTAGAGCATGTTCGGACAATTGCAATTAACTTATCAAGTTTTTCTATGAATAAGTATGAAATCTTTTTTTATAAATATTTTTATAATGTACTAATTCTCGTCAAATTTTTCAGGAGTTCCGTCCAGATCGCTTTACTGATAATGGTGGGAGGGATCCTTACGATTATGTGCCATTCTCAGCAGGACCAAGGTATGACAAACTTAGACCTGCGCTGATGTTTTTCAAATGATGTGTCTGATAATATCAGTTTAGTAAAGCCCGAAACAGTGATACGTTAAAAGACGCCATGTCCTTTTTGTCATGTAAAACAATAATTCCAGCATAATTTCTCGCAATTGTCAATGAATTTGTGAAAATATTGAATAGATGCTTGGTACAAATTGTATTAAATTGTGAACTTAGACACTTTTATAGCAAATGATTTGTTGCATAGCAACAAAAATCTGAAACGAATTTCAAATTTGAAAAGACACTACCAAATCGAAAAGGTGAAATGGGATGTTCTGGTCCTTCACACAACACCGAAGGCTAAGCCAGATGAGACACATCTTTTCACAGACCTGTCCTATTCTCATATACCAAGATTTTTCTGTTTGCTTCGATGAATCATTTGGATTTTTTCAGAAATTGTATTGGTCAGCATTTCGCTTTAGACGAGCAAAAGGTGGCTCTCGCAAAGTTGGTTCAAAGGTGAGTTCATCAATTTGAAAAAAAATATAGCATCGTGATCCTAATATTTTCGAGAAAATTGACAATTAGGAAGAAGAGGTAATGTGTCTTGTATTTATATATATTTTAAGAGAGTGAGTGAGGTGACCTATGTGAAAAATGAAATGTGTTGTGTCAAGCATATCAGATATATCATTGTTTACATATATGGCTATCAGGTTAATGAATGGTATATTTGCAAACGTATCAAATAAAATATTCAATAGAAGAAGGGTAGATGTAACTGTATTTTAAGTCCAGCGATACCATTAATGAAAAAACATTTTCTGGTAATTTCAACGAAATGAATGAACCAATGATAAGTGTTTAGTATACCCTGTATTTACAACCGTCTGGAATAGAAATAGCATTAATGTCTCCTGCGACGTACGCAAAGTAAATAGGTAAATTCCATGGAAAACATGAATGATGATAATGAATGTGTAACCAACCGAAGAATATGATCTAACACTTCGTAGAATTAAACATATATACCACCATGAAGAAACAAAATACACGAATACTCATAGTTATGCCAATTATATTAATAGCTTATATTTGTTTCAGATTCCGGATATTACCAGATCCTAATCACGAACCTGTTCCCAACAAAGAAGTCGTTACTCGCTCTAAAAATGGAATCTTCATCAAATTAGAAAAACGATGATTCTTTTAATGAAATTGTCAAAGATTGTCTTGCATAGTTACATAAACAGACGGATTCCCAATAGTAAACTGTTCACAGTTTCGTCTTCAACAACAGGTCATGATTCAATTACTTCTCACGTAAAAGCCAGATGATCATAATCGTCCATGGACTTGCTTTTGTAACAAATGTTGTATAATATCTATATTATATTCAGTTGGTTTGTCTTTGTGACAAGTCTAGATGTACAAGCTATATGTTGGTCTTATAACCGAAACTGATTTCAGTAACTCTGCTTGTGAAGAACATTTCGATTTTAGGTAGCAGTACACAGTTTCTCGATGTGGCCATGGGTAATATATTTATTCATTAGATAACCCATTATAAAGGTTTTAAGTAAAATCTGAAAAAATAAATCCTTGCTAACATTGGTCTTGTCAGGTTGAAGACGACAATGTGGGGTTTCATTTTTTTTCCGAATAACATTTTAGCTTTGTGTTGGAAATTACTATTTGGGCAGTCTCGAATCTGTGTCTACGCACCCAAAACTAGCTTTATAGGAAGTGGAATTTCCATATTGTTTACACGTGGTCATGTTGTGAAAGATTTGCTGAAATGTAAGTAGTTTTTTGTTGATTTTAAGGCAGGTATTCAGAAATAAATTCCTTCTATAAAGTTGTAGTGTTAGGTTTCATAAACACATCTTTTTTTGTTTTAGTTTTTTTTTTTTTTTTATCGAGGTACTCTAAAGTCACACAAAGTCTGATAAGGGCTAACTCGTCGGGTATCTAGTTTATCATCTCAGGTTAAGAGTCCTTAGAGGTAATTAAATTTTCCAATTTTGGATAAAACTGAAGTGTTATGGAGCTGAAATAGTTAGCAGAACATTTTTGAATTGTCCAAATAAGACGGTAAAGAACACATGTAGGGATGTGAACACTGTTAAGTTCCTTCTTATACTATACATAGTCTTATCTAATTATGTGAATATAAACCCTGGCCCTGGAGAGCCCAGTACTACCGAGTGTGGTATATGTGATATGACTGTCCACTCAACCGTGACGGCATATACCTGTATAGGGTGTAAAGACTTATTCCACAGTACTTGTATTAACAATCTTAACTCTGTTGAAATAAACACTATTCTCGATTCGATTTATGACAAATGTGTTGAAAACATTTCTCGTTGTGACTTCAATGTATCTTCTGACAATTTCATTGCCGAAGGGATTGAAATTTGCTCGTTCAAATGCTTTTGGCCTTTTAAATAAACTGGACCAAATCAAGATTTTAATGAGAAAATAGTCATTTGATATCTTAGCAATAACTGAAAGTAAACTCGATAGTTCTGTGGATCAACAGGATGTTTCCATATATGGATACACTACACACCGTCGAGACAGAAACCGACATGGTGGAGGAGTCCTTGTCTATGTGAAAGACTCACTGTCTGTTTGATGATGAAAGTTTCAGTATTCCAAATATTATGGAGGTGCTTGTTTTGATCCTCAAACTCACTATTTCTTCTTGTATTGGATGTGTTTCCGTATACCGACCTCCAAGTGAAAAAGTTGACTGGTTTCCCCGATTTGATCAGATAATTGAATCTGTTTCAGCACCTGACCAACCTTTAATTATTATGGGTGACTTCAACGTAGATGAACTGACAAACAATAAACTGAACACTTAAATGAATATTTTGTATCTCCTACTTGAGAGACTAAAGATTGAGTTACTCTTATTAATTATATTCATACTTCTGATTCATTCTGTTGTAGAGAGGCTGGGGTCATTCCTTTAGGAGTGAGTGATCATCACTTCGTGTATGCTATTAGAAAACTAAACAAAGTTGATACTAACAATGAAAATGTTTATATCAAATTTAGAATTTTCAAAAAAAAGTTAATGTGGATAAACTCAAAGCTGACCTGGCAAAGTACCATGGTCAGTCATAGAGGTTTCTGATAACATAGATTATGCATGGGATTCATTTAAGCAGTTATTCTTCAGTGTCATTGACAGCCATCTTCTCTTAAATGAAGAATGTGTCGGTGCTAAAACTGAATTATGAATAAATGATGATTAATCGCAGTGAAATGCACACACGTGATTATCTACATGATAAAGCAAGATCATCTCGATCTAGTTCTGACTGGTATTAATATAAAGCTTCTAGAAACAGTTTTAACAAAAATTGAAAAGGCAAAACGTGATTACTTAGATGAAGTTTTGCTTCAATGTGCAAACAATTCCAAGGATAAGTGGCAAAAAATGAGACTGATGGTGTCCTCCAAAGCGAATTGTGCCTCAAGTCTTAATATAGATGGCGAGAGCATAACAGAGAAAGTAGATATTTAAAATGCTTTCAGTGATTATTTTTGTAATATTGGCTTTGATATTTGGAAAAACGTATCTTTACCAAATTCAGACAAATCTAGTTCTAATTAAAATAAGTTTTTATCCCCTTAATAACACAAGACGTTATAAGAAAACAGGTCAAAGAGTTACATGATGGCAAAGCTACTGGTATTGACCGAATGTCTGCGAGATTGCTTTAATCAGCAAGTGAAACAACTGTCGAACCTCTAACATATATTTTCAATAAAGCAATAAACTCGGGATCATTTCCTACAGAGTGGAAAAAGGCAAAGGTGACACCAATATTCAAATCTGGTGATAGGACCCGTGTAAATAACTATAGACCTGTATCTTTTCTCTATGTTGTTAGTAAAACTTTTGAGAGACATGTTTACAACTCATTCTATAATGATTTGTCGTCTAATGATTTACGTACTGAATCTCAGTATGGCTTTATACCACACCATTCCACCGAAACCGTCCTTTCAGGATTAGTAGATGAATGGTCAAAAAACATTGACGATGGTAAATTAACAGTTGTTTTGTTTTTCGACTTACGTAAAACCTTTGACACGGTGAGTCATGAAGTGTTCTTACTCAAAATAAGAGCTTATGGTGTCTCGGAACCTGCAATGATATTTTTAAAATCACATTTGTCTGATAGAAGGCAAACTGTAAATTTCAAAAGTGGTCTATCCTCATGCAAAGATATAACAATCGTCGTTCCCCAAGGTTCAATTTTAGGACCATTATGTTTTATAATTCATATAAATGATTATCCTTAAAGTTTACGGCACTCATCTATTACAATGTATGCTGATGACACGTCACAAACAGTGAAAGGTTCATCTACTGATGAAGTTGAATGTAAACTAAGTGAGGATCTGGAATTATCATGTACGTGAATGGCAGAAAATAAGATGAGTTTAAACTTAATAAAAACTATATGTATGCTAATTGGTTTCTCACAGAGGATGTCAAAACTTAGACAATTGTGTATTAAAGTAGACAGTGTTGTCATTGGAACTGTTCGATGTGCTATACTGCTTGGAGTTTATATTGATAATTGTTTATCATGGAATGACCATATTGATTATGTATGTAAGAAAATACGATCGGTATTCTAAAACGTGTTAGAAAATTTGTGTCAATTGAAATGTCCAAAAACTACTATTGTCCTACCACACTTTATGTATTGTTCTTCTGTTTGGAGTACCCCTTCAAATACATCACTTACAGAAAAGCTTTTAAGCTCCGAAAACAGCAACAAGACTAAGTTTGAACATAAATCATTATCCCAACCTCTCTGCTTTTAAAGAATTTGAACTGGATGCCTATACTTGATCTTTGTATTTTTAGAAAATGTGTTCTTACCTAAAAGATCCTAAATGATGAGGCTCCTGGATATTTGAAGCAAACTTTGTTTGCCTATGTCAGCCAAATTGCAAGCAGGACAACTTGTTCTCTTAGTGCAAACAAATTATATATTCCGAAGTGCAGAACTACTTTTTACAAACGTTCTTTTAAATATTCATGCACGTCCATATGGAATAATTTTATTGAAGAAATCAAGAATGCAACAAATATTTTGTCTTTTAAAAAACTGTACCTGAAAAACTATTTTAATCCAACTTCATGAAATGTATTCGTCAATTCTAGGCTCATCTGTGATAGTACTGTATTAAGTTTGTAATGTGTATTTAATCATTTCATAAATCATATCTATTATGCACTAAAAACTTTTGATATTTTATTTGATATTTAGTTTTTATACAACCGAATGATGAACTGTTCTTATCCATAATTACTGAGGTATCTTTTTAATACATTTTGTATATCATGTATTGTCATGTCAACATGTTAATGTTTTAATTTAATGACATTTAATGACAAATTCATGGACGTAGGCTTTAAGCCTTTATATCCATATCTGAAATACAGTGATATATATACATATTGTATCAATGGCTTTTAAAAGTTAATGCATATCATAGTTATCAATAAGCATAAATTACATCTTGAAAGTGTTCATTCAAAAGTTGTTCAAAGTGTCTAACTGAATTTGCATTCACAATTTGAACGGGAAGATTATTCCAAGTGTCTACAACTCTAAAGATAAAATAGTTTCTCCCTAAGTTCCGTGTTACAACGATACTTAGCTCCCTTTTTGTATATAGCTGTAATATTAGCTTCCTTCCAAATTTGTGGCAATTTGCCTTCATTCAGAGATTTATTGAAAAGTACCTTTAGTGGTTTACTCAGGACATTACGAAGTGCTTTGGGTGCATACCATCAGGCCCGCACGATTTATTTACATCTAGCTCTGATATATACTTCTTAACTTTCTCTTCGTTAAACTTGCTTCCTCAAAAGGCCAATGAACTACTTTATCTGGGAATATAGGTTTTTCGCTCGGCGGTTCCTCAGTAAAAACACTCGTGACGAAATTTACCAGGACTTCCGCTTTTTCTTCATGTCTTGTAGCTATTTGTGTTTGGTCGCCTTTTAGTCCTTTTAGATCTGTTATTCCTGATCTTACTGTACGTTTCTCGTTTATGTACTTCCAAAAACGTTTTGGTTGCTGTTTGATGTTTTTTGCGATATCTTTTTTTCAATACATTTTCTAGCTTTCCTAATTTCCCATTTAACTTGATTTCTATATC